GAACGGAATGGAGCCCTTTACCTTGCCACAGACTACAGTGCCTCCTACCTCCCTCCTACCTCGTACCGCCTACCGCCCCGCCATGTGGCAAAGACACAAACAGTAGTTGCTTTTGAAATCGCGCCCATATCCGGCGGAGCTTCCATAATTTTTTTGTGGTCTTTGAGGCCGGCCCCAAGAGTAGGGAGACAGAGACCCAGAGACCCTGGCCCTGGCCCTGGCCAAAACGTATCTTATCGATGCTTTGCATTTTGCATGTTGCCTCTTGTCCGAGCAACAGCAACAAGCTGGCGGAGATGGGGTTGGGGCAGCACCAGAAGATGCTGCTGGGCAGCCATTGCCTTCCAGTTGGAGCCCCACTGCTGTCCATGTGTGAGTGCGTGTCAAGTATCTGTATCTGTGTGCGTGTGTGTGTGTGTGTGTGTGTGTGGAACCTGGTTGATTTGACTGCAATTTTACTTGTTCTCCTCATTCCTCTCTCCCTCTCCCTCTCTCTCTCTCTCTCTATCTCTGTCTCTCTCTCTCATCTTGTTCCCTCTTTTGGTCTTTGAAAGATTGCCGCCACTGATAAGGAGCCGGCACCGAGAGAGGGGTGTGGTGGGGGTTTTTGGGGTTACCAACACACATGGTGGGCGTTTCCTATACGTATATTCCACGTACTAGCTTTGATATGTTTATTGCTTAGCCTTCCATTGAGGATGTCCACCCAAAGATCATAGTTCATCGAGAGCATCATCCTCCTACGAGTATCAAATCCATCATTAAGACACGAACACCCAACGAAACTCGTGTCTGTTAGATAAAACTGACTTAAAGATAGTTTAATTGGTGGAGGAATAGCCAAGGCTAAAGATTGGGGAAGATACTTTTACATAAAAGGCATTGAAAAGGCATACAGAAAGGTGGGGAGGTGCTCATTCCCTGGAAATTCGCTACAAGTTTCTCAAAATTTCCCTGTTATACAAATTATTCTCAAAGAATAAGAGTTCTAGTTGTAAATCAAACAGAAATGAGACCAAGTTCACTTCCATCTATGAGAGTCGCAAAATTACTGATTCGAAAACATCAACTTTGGGTCCCTATATCTTCAGGTTTATCCAATCTATCGTTACAAATCAAAATTCCTGTGAAAGGTTGTACAATTCTCTTTTGAATCTATTCATTTTTATGGCTATCGTCTTTTCAGATGCCGAGTAAAAAAGATAAAGGGGATTTATGGCAAAATCCAAGGATGAGGAAGTTCTCTACTCATCCAGCCCCACAACTTGATCACCAAAAGTTCTAGAATAGGTTCTTCCTAGCTTTGGTGGTTCCTGGCATGGAATATTCTTGAGGGACACACCCCTATAGGTCCTAGGGTTATCCTGTGTCTGAATGCCGCAAATGTTCAATCACTTTAAAGCCAAGAACGTGGCCAGCCCCAAAAAGCACTAGATATTCAAACGACTTTAAGTACGGGTCATATCCGCAGAACAGGGCTCGGCCACAGCTGTCTCTATTCGCACTCTCTTTTAGCCATGTCCGACAAGGTTTTTGCCTGATCACAGAAAAAATTACATCATATGCGAGTACATGGCAGCAAAAAAAAGAAGAAAAAAAAGAAAAAGGTTGAGGAGGTCAAGAGCAATCGACAGACACCCCTTCGTGAGGCAGAAAAGGTGCGGCCATTAAACATTTAAACACCTTCGCCATAAAAACTTGAATTCGCTCGTTGGCCAAGATCAAGTGCCTTGGAAAAGCAGCAGCCAGTTGTTTAAATGAAAAAGATACATACATATGTATATACAAATGTATCTACGAGGATGTATCCCCAAAAGAAGAGGCGAAAGACCGAGACCGAGGCAAGAGTGACAGGCAAAAATTGGAAACACGCAGCTTGTGAAGCGTTTTCCTCGTTAAAAGTGAAAAAGCCGCAGTAGCCGCATGTGCCCCACGCAGCAGCAAAACCCTCTCCCTCCCTGCCTCCCTACCCCCTCCACTCGACCGAAAGAAAAACCGCCGACACAGTCGCAAAAATTCATAGACGACAACACGAGAGACAAAATTGCATTTTGGTCCAATGTGTGCCGCATGGCAGTAAAAAACACACACACCAGATGGAACCGCGACGCGTCAACCCCCAGTCCAAAAAAAGAAAAAAACGAGAAGGAAAGAGAGGGAGGAGGAGGAGGAGGAGGATTGGCAGGCAGGCAGGGAGGTGGTGGGGAGGGGTTTTTTTTGGGGGGGAACCAACAAAATGGCAACATAACATGCAAAAGATACGCCACAAAAGCGGAAAAACCCCCCCATGAAACGGAGGAAAAGATACACACAGGCGCAGGAGTTGCGCTTAAATTCCCATTACAGCCATAATGGCTGCGGCTGTGTGTGTGTGTGTGCAGGAGAGTATCTCTCTGTGTGTGTGTGTATGCGTAAGTGTGCGTGTGGATGAGTGGGTGGCAAAAGAAAAATGAAAACGAACTGCGCAGGATCATTAAGGCAGCTCCAGCGCCAGCCCCAAACTCAACCTCAAACCCAAGGAGTAAGCAATACATAGATCCCCAAAAAACACACACGGATACACACACACACATACAGGAGGCAAACAATGCGAAATGTCAGATGAAGGAACACAAAAGATACACGTACGGGAGGGCCAACTGAAATTTATACAAACAGAAACGAAACGAAACGAAACGCACACCAGAAAAACGAATGAAACGCACAACAAAAGAAGCTGCCAAAAAAAAAAACAAAAAAAAATGGCTAAAATGGTGGCCCCAGCACACGCACACTTACGGGCAAATCACACACATGTCTATATGTCTATATAGGGTAGCATTATATAGCAGGAAAGCACAACAAAAACAACAAAAAAAGGCGCACATGCCCCCAAGCCAAGGCTGACGGAGAGGGAGATTGAAGCCGAAGCAATTGGAGGCTGAACATGGAAGTAAATGCTGACTGTCTGTCCGTCCGTCCGTCTGTCCTCCAGTCCGTCCTCCAGTCTCCCCATCTGTCTGTCTGTCAGTCGGAAACTGAAACACTTGGAGCTTGAAAAGCAACAAATACCAAGTACTAAGGCTTTTCCTTTTTGGCTTTGAAGCAGCTTAAAAATACCCTAAAAATTGCTAAACGAATTTATGACTAAATGTTGATGAGAGCAGATGTGTTTCAACCACAAGTTTTGGGGATATTTAAGGTATGACTGGTTCACAAAGAGTAGGTCTAAAAGTAGGAAAAAAAGGTCTTTGGTTTGGGATATTGATTGCTGATTTTCATGATGTTTAACGAGCAATAAATATATACATATATTTACATTATTTATGTGGAAAAAGGTTACCATTTTTTGAAATCCCAAAAATCATAGAATTTATTTATTAAATCAATATTTCTTCAAAATAAACCCAAGGTTTTGATGTATAATAAATCTATAAAATGAATTCTTCTTTTTATGCAATGATTCCAGAGGAAATATACTTTTTTAAACCAATTACAACTTCTAATGATTAAACAGTATTTTGATACTATGCCAATAGCTTTCCAATCCCTTAACACCCTGCCAAAATGGCCATACCCCACCAATAAGGGTATTTACAAAAAAATCGGCGAAAAAATAAGGAAAAGAATATACAGAGAGAGAATGAACAACAACAACAACAACGATATCGGACAACGGCAGCCAGCAACTTGTCTGCTCCGCCTTTATAAATAATTCATGTGTAGCTACAGCGAGTGCGAAAGATACGCAAGATACTACCCGTGCATATAGACACCACACCACACCGCACCGCACCACACCCCACCCTGTACTCCTCCTCCTCCTTCCGGCCCCATGCGCCCCTAACCACTCCCCACACACACAGATACACGCAGCCACGTTTAAAGATACTTTCGTACAGCAGCAGCAGAGGCAACAGATACAGATTTTATGCTGGTGTGTGTGTGTGTGTGGCGATGGGCTGGCGGGGCAACGAAACATTTAAAACGTGCTAAACGCGCGTCAAAGTTTTTCTTAATTTTTCAACAGCAGGAAAAAGTTTCTTTTTTTTCCTCCGCCAAGGATTACAGCCAGCAGCACATATTTACTGGGAAGGGGAGGGTAGGAATGTACGAGGGGGAAAAAGAATATATGGTACGAGTACGACTAAGAGTATCTTATAGAGTGGCATGCTGTGTGCTCTGCTCTGCTCTGCTGCCTTGTACATAATGTGGCAATCATTGCATTGATTTTTTTTTTCCTTTCTTACTTTTTTTTTGCGCCAGCAAAAGTTTTGGGGTCAAAAAAAAAAGTACCAAGATGAAGTAGCTGTAAAAATACACTCGAGAAAAATATGGGGTATATTTGCAGAACTATAGGGACTCGATATGGAGTAGAAACATGTATTAAAAGTGGATATTTCCATAATTTAATGTATATCAAAAAATGTATCTCTTTCTACAATAGATACTGTATCTGGGCCTCAACAGAGAGGGAAAAGTGTTCAACTTAAATACTGGAAAATGGCTGCCTGGCTTGTCCGGGATTTATGAATTTTTCAAATGTTTTCTCTTCAAAAAAAGAAAGCAGGGAGGAAAAAGTTTTTTGGCAGGAAAAGTTTTTCGGTTTTCGGTAGGTCCCAGGCACCCCAGCACTTGGGTAAACAGGGAAAACTCAGATTATTTGATAACAGTTTGTTAATTAGCGCTGTCTTTGGCTCTCGGTCGCTGTCTCCCTGGCTATTTGTTTGCGTTTCCGAGGCATAATTGGCAAAATGAATTTAAGTTTTGGCCCAACAAAAAACTGCAGAGCCAGGAAAATTGCAAATTGAACAGGGGGCGGGGGGAGGGACTTACTGGCAACTACTTTTACCGCCGGCAATTGGGAAACTTCTATTTTTAGCTTGTTTTTGATTAGGTATTCCTTCTGAAATTGATTTCTATTGAATAATAGATGCAAGGAGAAGCCTGTGGTGCGCCCCCCCCAAACCCCACCTTCAAATATAGATATGATATTAAATTGTATTCTCTCTTTTTTGCAGAAAAACAACGTTTATCGCATTGCGTTGGCTGTGGCGGCCAGATCCACGATCAGTATATATTGCGCGTGGCACCCGATCTGGAGTGGCATGCGGCGTGCTTGAAGTGCCAGGAATGCAGGCAGTTTCTGGACGAAAGCTGTACGTGCTTTGTGCGTGACGGCAAAACCTATTGCAAGCGTGATTATGTTAGGTATGTAAAGGACGCCCAACCCCATGACTCCTCTTCCCCAAGAGCCCCATTCAGCCCCCACCCACCCGCACACGCCTCATGTCATGCGCTGGGCCTTTTCGTTTCCAATTGTAGCATCAGTCCGGCCACCGTTTGTCCGCTTTTTTTGTTAGCCAGCCTTGTTAGCCCAGGCAATTAGAGTGATGATGCCAACACGCCGAGGCAGCCACATTTCTGTTCTAATCAACAGATGGTGGTCCAGTAGCATCGGCAGCAGGCACTTGGCGGGGGTTTCATCATCGCTAAATGTATGACGTGCAATAAAAAGTTGTTTGCGGCGGTTTTTTTTTCCCCCCCAATAAAGGAGGACCGACCGACCGGCAACGTCGCAACTATTTGCCATGCAAATCTTTGAATAATTGATTAACACGTGCAAAGCTATAAATTAACACTTTTCCACACACACATATATCTATCGTATACGTATAACCGAATTGAATACGAACAAATGATTGATGAACACAGGGCACACAGCACACAGTCATCGTGGCTGTTGTCGGGGCGGCGGCGGTGGCGGCGGTCACAAAAGAATTTCATTTTATAGCCATAAACAAGGTAGAGCTATACCCATGCTCATCTCCTACCCATCTCTCCCGATACCGACTTTGACCAAATTCAAGGCTGTTTACAATCATCGTCTAATCATGGGATCTTCTCTGTTCTCATTTTTTGTCGTTTCAGGTTATTTGGTACAAAATGTGATAAATGCGGTAACTCCTTCAGCAAAAATGATTTTGTGATGCGGGCCAAAACGAAAATCTTTCACATTGAGTGTTTTCGCTGTTCGGCGTGTGCGCGACAATTACTGCCAGGTAGGAATCGAGAATCTACACCTCAAATATGTACCTTACTCATTGTTTATTTGAAAACCGAATTTTTCAGGCGATGAATTTGCGTTACGTGATGCTGGGGCCCTGTATTGCAAGGAGGATCACGACGTGCTGGAGAAATCATCGCAGAGCAGTCTCACCTCCTCCTCGGTGGAGAGCAACAACAATATTAGCAGTAGTAACAATAACAACACCAACCTTAGCAATAACAACCATTCCAGCGAATTGGGTTCAATGTCAGGTGAGTGCCAGTTTCGGTTTCAGTTTCGAACTTGATTTTGTTCTTGAAGAAGTGTGCTCTTAATGAAGCAAAAAAGATTCCCAAATACTCGACTCGAGTGGGTTTAAGACTCAGTAATAGTTATAGAAGAAGTACTGTCTTAGTTGGTGTTTACTCAAAAGGGTTGGGCACAGATTCAAGGAAAACTCTTAGACCAGGGAAAGATTCAGAAATACTTTAAGAAGGGTAGGACTGCTGTACTTCCTTCATCCCTTCTTATCGGCCATGGGGGATGCTTCTATTGTGTGAAAGTCTCTCCCTCTCTCTTTGTTTTGGCTTTCAGTAACTAGATATTCGTTCATTAGTTGCCCAAATATTATGATACAACCATTGTTGTTTTTGGAGCCCATATTAAGAGTCATTCATCAGGTTAATTGGTCTCGAAGTTATTAGTTTTTAGAGTTTCCATTAACCCCGATTATTGTAAGGAAGAATCACACAGTACCTTGCAGAAGGTAGAAAGACTTATCTTATTACTTCTTCGCGTCCCAGAACACAGCCCAAGTGCCTCTACTTAGCCTATATTTTATGGGTCTTAGATAGTCGACTCCTACAACTCCTCCTGCAACTTCCACTCTCTAATTGCAATGGCAAAGAGCACTCCCATCTAAGTAGCTCCGACTCCGAGTCCCCCGAAAAGATTGCCAATCCTAATTAGCCCAAATTGGTCGGGCGAATGGCATAGTGGCACTATGACTGGGACTCTGTGGCTGCCACATAGTTCGGCATCGCACAAAAGCGTTGCCGTTCGTGTTTTATTCTTAGAAAAACAGCGTTACATCCTTGTAAGTGATAAAGTGTCAATAGACATCGGCAAACGTCAAACAATGTACGACAATTGTCAAACCATATCGTCAACATAATCTCATTGTTTAACCTGAACGAAGGAGACAGAGACGGAGACGCAGACAGAGAGGGAGACAGAAACGGAGAGAGAGGCAGAACCTTATCAACATGGGGCGGCGTTGTCAAACGATGCCAAAACGTGTGTGGCGTAGAAAGAGATAGATGCAGGCACCCATGCCCCCCAAGCCGTCCCCCAATTTGCAAAAGGTACAGGGGGATGGGGACGGGGGAGAGTGGTTCCAGCCAGCTGCCAGTTGGGGCAAACACAAGCCTGAGAGACTCGGAGCTGCATTGAAGCGTTCAAGCGGGCAAACATTGACAAGCAACTTCTTGGGAATTGGATTTCTGTTTGACTGACTTCGATCGTCGATCGTATGATCAATCAGCCTTCGCCTGCGGTACTCCCATCCTAGGGTGCCATACACCATTCATAGTTCCACTTGTTGGTTTATTTTGTGTTTGTGTTCAACTCGAAAACGGCATGCAGTCTAGTCGAGTGTTTGCCAAACCACGACGGCCCCCATCCACGGTGCGGTGACAACGCTTTGAAGTCCCCGAGAGCCATGGAGGATCGCGCTTCAATTTGTATAAAAGTTTTTGCCAATTTGGCAGCCAACAGGCCACCCCACAGGCTGATAAGGAGATGGAGCAACACCGGCCCCGATAGACATCCATCCATCGATCGATCTATTCTTCGGTTTCGGTTTCGATTTCTGTTTCGGTTTGGTTCCGTTCCGTTGCGATCTTCATTGATCGAAATTAGATAACAACTTGTTCGGGGGTTGTGAAACACGACTTAATTATCATCCTATCGGCTGTACGATCGGGCACAAGGCAACGCGTGTGCAGAGAGAGCTCTTTGATCTCCATTCGCCACATTTGGCGATATTTTTGGGTGCAATTGGTACTCGAAGACCCAGCCACAACAATACAACCTAACAGAAAACAAATAGAACGGAAAGAAAGAAAGATATTTTGGAGGGCAAGAGCAAGAGCAAGAGCAGGTCGCAACAATTTATCAAACGGCACTTCAAAGTGTTTTTCCTTTTGCCAAAAATAGCAAATAAATTGATCATATCTTTCTCTCTCTCTACAGATTCTGGCAGCGAATCGGGCTCACATAAAAGTATTAGGGAAAAACGACCCTCGGGTCCATCGGATGGCAAGCCAACGCGAGTTCGGACCGTGCTCAATGAAAAACAACTGCATACACTGAGGTAAGGATCTGATTAGATATTTTCTGTTTTTAAGTCATCATTCAATAACTCAATGAACTTCTGTAGAACCTGCTACAATGCTAATCCGCGACCTGATGCGCTCATGAAGGAGCAACTGGTTGAGATGACAAGCCTCTCGCCGAGAGTCATACGGGTCTGGTTCCAGAACAAGCGCTGCAAGGACAAGAAGAAGACCATCCAAATGAAGCTGCAAATGCAACAGGAGAAGGTATGTCCACACCCAGCCGTATAGCCTAGCTCTATAAACGATCAATAAGATGGTTTATCGATTCCAGGAGGGTCGCAAACTCGGCTACGGCGCCATGCAGGGCATCCCGATGATCGCCAGCTCGCCGGTGCGCCACGACTCGCCGCTCAATCTGCAGGGTCTGGACGTGCAGACATATCAACCGCCGTGGAAAGCCTTAAGCGATTTTGCCCTGCACGCCGATCTCGACAGCAATGGAGCAATCAATACGCACACACCTGCATTTCAGCAGCTGGTCAATCAGGTAAGATATCCACACCCCATAGCTATCCGGATAACTTATTTAGTTACTAAATTCCACAATTATAAACTATTCTATAGATGCATGGGTACGATCTGAATGGAATGCCAGTGCTGCCGCCACATCCGCCACAGGGACCACACCCACCGCCGCCGGGCCAGCAAATGAACGGGCCGCCCGGCGGCAGCAGCATGGACTCGGGCATCACCTCGCACCACCATCCGGATAGCACGGACTCGTATGTCACCTACCTGGAGAGCGATGACAGTATGCAAGGCAGTCCGTAGACCAATTCGAACCGAATCTAATATCAGCTTCTTTTGTTGCTCCCAGAATCCAAACTGGCGCTGACACCGTCATCCTCGTCATCGGCATCGGCTGCCACATCGATCTCCTCGCCGCCATCGTCCACGTCGGCGGCCACTGGCGGCGTCGGCGGCGTCGGCGTCGGCATCGGTGGCGGTGGCAGTGGAGTTGTGGGTGTTGTTGGCGTAGGAGTCGGCATGGGCGTGGGCATGGGCATGGGCATGGGCATGGGCGGGGTCGGTGTTGGTGGTGCCGCCAATCAGTCGGCCACCGAGCAGCTTATGCAAATGCTCCAAAAAGTGACTGGCTCCGGCGGTGCCCCGGCATCCCATGCGGTGCTTTGAGCTCTGGCAAGGGGCAAGGGGCGTGCCGCAGACATCCATGACGCAGGCTCCTGCTGATGCAACAGACAGAGAGAGAAAGAGAGAGAGAGAAAGATAGTGGAGGAAGCAGAGAAGAGCTCACGGGCTTTTTTGGGTTTTGTGCAATTTCCGCGGCTCGGTTTGGGGCTTTTCCCCCTCCTCCGTTTCCCGTTTTCCCCTGTTCAATTTTTGTAAACTATGATTTGTATTTTGTAACTTTATTTTATTCTGTTTGATTCGGTGCCAAAAAATAGTCTGTAGGCCGTTGGCATTTCGCTGGCTAAAGGGAGGATTATCATATCTGGTTCTGGCTTTGGCTTTGGCTTTGGCTTTGGCTCAGTTTTGACCCTTTTTTTTTTGTTATGTAATATACAGTTTTGTTGTTGAGTTCCGTGTCAAAATTCAATTAAAACAAAAATGCTCACACACTTGAAAAGTTTTAACAATAATTTTTGCATTAACAAAACGAAAAAGAAACTCGAAAAAACCACACACAAAAAATATTATTGATAAACGAAAAACAAGTTACTGCGCATCAAGTAGGGAATTTCATTAAACGAAACAATTTGTACATAACTTTTATAAATATATATATATAAATATAAATATATTTTCATTCAAAATGCAAAACGATTCATAGACATTCAATCAGAAAACGAAACAAAAACAAAAAACGAGGTAAAACGAGAAATTGACTATAAAAAAAAAAAGAAAAGGAAAAACGCTCGTGTGTATTATAGAGGATATATAAACTGGGGATTAGAGATATAGTATAAAAACCACGCACTTGGCAAAACTGTAAATCGAATTAACAACAAAAGAGGTCTACGTTTAAGTTCGTAAATTGTATGGCAACAGAAACAACACAAAATTATTATAAATAAATGATTAAAAAACGAGAATCAATGGGGGATCCGTGAATAAGTGAGAAAGAGAAACTGTAACTAAATCTAGACTTATTTGTTAGTTTTTAAATATTTCCGAAATGCATTCGAACGAAGAAGTCACACAAAAGAAAGCAAACAAGGAGATGTCAGGAATGAGGGACAGAGGGAGAAATGTACCAAGGATGTTTATAAATTGTTTCGTCAAACAACTAATGTATTTTCAATAATATTTAACTAATATTAATAATAAAATCAGTGCATAAGTAATTTTAGTAACTATAGAAAATGTTTAAATGAAATTACAAACGAAAATAAAACAAAAACAACAAAATAATTGAAAAATTTCAAAGTGTTTTGATTTCAAATTGGCCGCTCTGTTAAGTAACGGCACTCTGAACATGGTGTGGGTACAACAGCACATTGTTTACAGCACGCACGGCAACGGCAAATCATTTATTATCTATGCCAGCTCTTATTGGGCTTTGTTACAATTATTTGTATTGTTAAGTTTTCATTTTCAGGTTTCTTGGTTACCTGTTTCCGTTCCTCTTGGGTTTCCGCCAACCGAAGAGAGGAGAACTCTCATGTTCAGACTTGTTCAGACATGTTCAGGCTGTCGTTCCTCCTGGCCCGGTGGTTCCAGGTGCCCAACCCAATCGGCAGAATGTCTGAGGGCCAGTGCAGGGCCATTGTTTAACGAATTGCTGCACTGTAAAACCGTCACTCTGGCACCCAATCTTCGTATTTTGGGAATTCTCAATCGCACACTTTGCCGACCGTCACGAGTTTTGTCCATCTTTTCTAAAAGAAATGCGAAAAAACATGAATGAAACAATATGGTAATTGTTAATATGCAGCACAAACCTTGTGCTAATGTGTTTCGAATAGCCATCAACAGCACAGTCTTCGCGCGAATCAAATTTTTCTGTAAACACTCGATTTTAACATTTCCCGCGAATTTCTATCGCACAAAACTACCGATCAGTGTGACCGCGGATTTATCGATAAGATATACCGTCCGACCCTCAGAAATATACCGAAACATACCGCCTCATTTTCAAAATATACCGCAAATATACTGACGAATTCAAGATCTATTGCACATATTCCTCGTTTTTGATCTTCCGTCGAATATTACTAGCTATATAGAACATTTAGCCATTCCATCATAATTTTATACGATTGATGCATCAATTTTCTACAAGATCACTACTTTTAATTACTTTTGTGTATTGAATTTTGACTAAAACACGGTTTACAAATTAATGTTGCCGCAACAGTGTGCATGCACTAACCATACTGTATGGTTAGTGATTTTACATTACATCGATTAAATGTTTCTACATTTTACATTACTTCGATGTATTTCATATCGATCGACCAACAGATGGCGCTGCAAAATGTAAAAACATGTCATGAATCGATTTATACATATGTATACAAAATTTCATTTTCGACGTCATATAGAAATCCAATAAAAGCAATTATTTAAATTAGGCCAATCAAGTAGGAAATTGGTTCGTAAATCCTATAAAATTATGTGGGTAGGGGCTCAGAAATATATCTATCTAATAATATATGACGGAATATCAAAATTGAGGAATATGTAAAAAAGAACTTGAATTCGTCAGTATATTTACGGTATATTTTCAAATGAGACGGTATATCTTGATAAATTTCTGACGGTCGGACTTCCGCGGCCACACTGATCCCATCCAACTAAAATTTTTATTTTGAAATTCTATTTTTTCTATTAAAATAGCTTTAAAATGTCTATCGCCAAGCGTGTGCAGGTGGGTACTAACGAGACTGTTTATCAGCAGAACCTGAAAATACCTTTATTGGCTTTTTTCTAGCAATGGGCAACATTTGCACGAACCTGGCACATTTACGACTGCACCTGGCAGAACCCTTTTGAGTCCGCTGCACTGGTGAAAACACATTTAATGGGTCTGCACAAGCCCATATATCATCCTATGAGTAAGTACAACCCATAGTTGTAGCCACCGGTACTAGTTTTAAGTGAGAAATGTGATACAATCGGGGGCTCGGTGAATGTTTACGTGCGTCATTACATCACAATCTCGGCCGGCATGTTGTGGCTCTGTTGGTGGGAGTAAAACAGAATTAGTGGGTGTCCTACACAATTCAAAATGGTAATTATTAAAGCGTCTCCCTAGTGCGATTGATTCCATATCTGATAAGCACTCTGTTCTTCTAGGTTAAGAAATTCCTTCCATCGCCAGCTGTCATTCAAGTCTAAACACAAATCCGTATTTGCAGATGATTGCGGGGACCATGTGGTGTTGATCAATACCAAGGAAATTGCACTACCCGGCGACGAGTGGATCAAGCGTGTCTACTTCCATCACACGGGCTACCCCGGCGGTGCATCCTGGACTCTGGCCTGGCAGCTGCACGAGAAGGATCCCACCATGGTCATGAAGAAGGCGGTGTACAATTCAATGCATGGAAACCTGCAGCGCAGACACACAATGCAGCGATTGCATCTTTTCTCCGGCGACTCGGTGCCCGATGAGATTCTGCAGAACGTCACAAACCAGATACGCACTCCCCGCACTGTGCCCCAGAGGCTTGATCATATTGATAAGGAGACGCTGGAGAACTTCCCCACCATTATGGATTATCCAAAGGACTACATATTGCGTTGATTATTGTTAAAATATTGTAATTAAGCAAAATACATTTAAACACAAAATAATCGTTGTTTTCCCTGTAAATGAGGGTTATCGGGGTATATTCGTTATGAGTTTGGTTACGTTCCAATAATTTAAGCATTTTATGTTATAAACAATAAGTTTTCATATCTAAAATATCATATATATCACTTATTTTCAGTGCTTACAAGAAAGCAAGATATTTCTCAATCTAATTGTTGGTTTGTTGTAGTGCATGGTATCAACAAGTCGGCTTTCTGCCGTTGCCATTTCACACTTCTGTAAAGTGGCAAGGCTTTGCATTTAGAGTTGCCAGATATTTGAAAAAAGCTTGTTCAGCCGGCCCGGCAGTGAATTGCAGATTCTTAATATTTTGTCATTGGCGACGCCTACTCTTTCATCTCCAAACATATATCAGAGGTGCGATCATCATATACTATATACACTCGGCTCGCATCTGGAGAGGTTTTTCCCTTCGCATTTGTCGAATCTCTATCAAATCTTTATTTATTTTATGATAAGCTTATCGGCGTCCAAACGCTTTCTCCCTCTGTTCTTGCAGTCTCCAAACGCGGCTTTTGCACGACACACCTACAGCAGCTCCAGCAGCCGTTCCACCAGACACAACTTTGTCCAATCTATCAACTCCAAAAACGCAACATGGGCCGCCTGGGTACTGTGGATCCTAGCTCCTACTCGCAGCCGGATTTGATTACCACGGAGCACAGTGTTCTCAACTGGAAAGTGGATTTCGATGCCACCAAACTGCAGGGCAGTGTGGTGCATCGCTTCAATGTGCTGTCCACTAATTTGGAGAAGATTGTGAGTAGCTGGAGAGATATTAACCAATGAAAAGCGTTATACACATAGTGCATTCATGGTAGCTCCTGGACGTGAGGGACATTAATGTGACCAATGCCACGTTGCTGGCTGGAGGCAGTGAGCTGCCCATCAATTACTTCATCAGCGATCCCGTGGACGATATTGGACAAAAGCTAACACTGGAGTTGCCAGCCGGCACGGCTAAGGGGAGGTGAGCATTCCCATTCAGATCGATAAGCTAATCTTTATGGGACTTGTAAATAATCCACAATACTTCATTCCTATCGTCTAGCCTCAATGTTCGCATCGATTACGAGACCTCAAGCAGTGCCAGCGGCCTGCAGTGGCTGAATCCCACCCAGACCCTGGGCAAGGAGCATCCCTATATGTTCTCCCAGTGTCAGGCCATACACGCTCGCTCTGTGGTACCCTGCCAGGATACGCCAGCGGTGAAGTTCACCTACGATGCTGTGATTGAGCATCCCACCGAGCTGACTGCCCTGATGAGTGCCATAATTGACAAGAAGCAACCCGGGAAGACACACTTCAAGCAGGAGGTGCCCATACCCGCCTATCTCGTGGCCATTGCCATTGGAAGGCTGGTCTCCCGACCGCTGGGCGAGAACTCCAATGTCTGGGCCGAAGAAGCGATTGTGGATGCCTGTGCCGAGGAGTTTTCTGAAACGTCCACCATGCTGAAGACCGCCTCGGATCTGTGCGGTCCCTATGTGTGGAAGCAGTACGATTTGCTGGTAATGCCACCATCATTCCCCTACGGTGGCATGGAGAATCCATGCCTGACCTTTGTCACACCCACTCTGCTGGCGGGCGACAAATCGCTGGCCGATGTCGTGGCCCATGAGATTGCACACAGCTGGACGGGCAATTTGGTGACCAACAAGAACTTCGAGCACTTCTGGCTAAACGAAGGATTCACCGTGTTCGTCGAGTCAAAGATTGTGGGACGGATGCAGGGCGCCAAGGAGCTGGACTTTAAGATGCTGGGCAATCTGACCGATTTGCAGGAGTGTGTAAGTACAACGTCCATTGCATTCCTTTACTATTCCTCCTAATTTGCGTTTTCCTGCTACAGTTGCGCACTCAACTCAGTGGCACACCAGAGCTTACCAAATTGGTTGTGGATCTATCCAACTGTGGCCCCGATGATGCCTTCTCCTCAGTGCCTTATATCAAGGGTTCCACATTCCTGCGCTATCTGGAGGATTTGCTTGGTGGACCAACTGTCTTTGAGCCTTTCCTGCGTGAATACCTGAAGAAATTCGCCTACAAATCGATTGAAACCAATGACTTCAAGAGTGCCTTGTATGATTACTTCAAGGATACGGACAAAAAGGATCAACTGAGTGAAGTGGATTGGGATCTGTGGCTGACCTGCGAGGGCATGCCCCCCATTATACCCAAGTAGGTGCTCATAATTTCTAAGAAAACTCTTTTACTAAAATGCACATGTTTCTAAAGATTCGACGAATCCCTGGCTAATGTCACCACGGATCTGGCCAAACTGTGGAGCACTGCTACTGTGTCCAAATTGGTGGACAACAAGGACATCAAGCAGACCATTTCCATCCATCAACTGATTGACTTCCTGGGCAAACTGATCGAGTCGAAGGATATTGTGGAGTTGAACGAAAGCAAGATTAAACTCCTCGAGTCCACGTACAATCTGAATCTGTCCAAGAACGCTGAAGTGCGCTTCCGCCTGAATCGCTTGATCATTCGTGCACGCCTGATCAACCGCCTGGACGAGATCATTGAATTTGCCAACTCCAATTTCCGCATGAAGTTCTGCCGCCCCATCTACCGCGATCTGGCCGCCTGGCCCGAGGCCAAGCCTGCGGCCATTCGCAACTTTGTCAAGGTCAAGGACCAGATGATGGCCGTGTGCTCGCACACTATCGAAAAGGACCTGGGATTGAAGTAAACTAAATTTAAGTCGAAAATTTTGTGCATTTCAAGATCTGATCTGTTAAGTAAATATGAAATTGTTTATGTATTCTTATGGGTTTTGCTTTCCGTTTGGTTTCTTGAATTATTTGTTTTTATTAAAAAATAAGCAAAACTACGTTTATAACAAGTTGATTTCCGTTTTCCATGCTCATTGTAATTTCTAATTTTCAATTTTGCTTGCAATTTTGTTGTCGTGTTATTAGGTTTCCTATTACAATTACAATAAGTATTACCAATTTGTTCAGCTCAATTTTTGGATATCCGTTCAACATTGACCAATGCTCGTATGGCCTCCGTGTTCGTTCGGTTCCGTATACCTAATCAAATGGGCGATGATCTTGTGGATCTACCTTCTGTTTCAAAACTTTACTTTGTATCATCTTTCATTAAATTCTTTAAATTTCTCTCTCGGCTCGTAATACACACATACAATTTATTATTAAATTTATTATTGTTTGCTTTGCTCGGCGCTGCTTAAATATTTTCTCTGTTCTCCCTGTTCTCCTCTCAACTGTTTTCATCGACGTGTTTTGCTTGTTCGTTTTCTTGTTTTCTTTTTTTAAACTAATTAACAATTTTGTTTTTCACTTCTTACATTGACCAAAATTCTACAACATGCTTCAAATTTCTGTTATTCCAGTTTATAGCTGAGAAATCTTCATAATTCAGTTTGTATTTGGGGCTTTTCTCCTTCGGCTTCAGCTTCAGCTTCTCCTTCATGTCGGGGTTGAGGAATTAAAAACTATCACGCACTAGAATTATCATTGGAACGGGACGTGGATGGACCGGCACCCTGATCATCGCCTAACACGAATGTGGGACTCTGGCGGGATGTGTGATAGTGATAGCCCTCTCGATAACGTTGATTGGGTTTTGTCCGTGCGGTTTGTGTGTGACCCAATGCTGGACGCTGATTGTTGAGCTCATTGGGTCGTTTGGCTGCGGGGCGGAAATAATGCAGATAGTCAATGGATATTACAGAAAGGGAAGATACCAGATACCCTTGCAAATTGATTGGACATTTATATTAGAGCGTGTTTTCCCATCGATGTGTCAATATGAAATATTGAACCGATGTGGATTCGATTCCAAACACCTTTGCAAGGGCACAAATCATTGCATAGATCCTTATTTGGTCTTACCAGGTATATAAGGCTTTTGATTATAGGACGATTGTTGTTGTTGTTGGTTATATAGATCCTCCGATGCTGCTGCATTGCCATTCCGATATGGCGTCGCATGCAGCTCGGTGCTACAAATAATGGGACTCATCGGTGTCATTTCGCGATCCTCGATAAACAATTCGCTGGCATCGTCGGGCACCTGACGGTACTGAGTCCATGGCCAGGATGCGATGCCCGACAAAAGAAATGCCTCCAAGGCGCACACATATCCAATAATCTGGAAGGAATAATCATGTCATTTGATGGATGATTTTCTGGTTCTGATGGTGCGACTTACGCCTGTGGCTAATAGTGTGTCCCTGGAATGCTTGGATACCCATGTGTATTCAGTGGCACAGAGGACCATGTGGACAAGTAATGTGGAGCTCAAAATAAATATCAAACCAATACTCAGGTACATCCACGTATTCTACGGAGAGAGATGATTTAATTATACATACTTTTTGGGGGGTTTTGTTGGTTTTTGCTGTTATTTATAGTTACCACTTTAGTCCAATTGAATGGAAACATGAGAGCTATATGCGATATATCCAGAAAGAGCATGAGACATGTGATGAGTAGCGAGAAGAGCGCACAGAAGACCATCAGTCTCAGGCGTCCGATGAGTGGCAGTAGAAAGAGGCCCACCTGTACCGTGCCCGCAGAGCATTCGCAGGCCAGGCAGGCGGCCGAGGATAACTACGAATATGCATACATATAGTGGATATATAGGTGTACTATATAGGATCGATCTTACCACCAATAGTATGCGCACAATCCCTGTAGGCGTTTTCAAGTGTTGCGGATCACAGTGTAGGGCAACGCCCCATGGCAGCGGTGTCGCTCCGCTGCGCTGTTTGTAGTTGGCATGCGAGTCCCAGGAGGTGCATGTGCCCAGCGGCGATTCGAGGGATAGCGAGAGCTCGCCGGCCCTGCTGCCAGCTATTTCAAAGTCCTGCTCATCGTCCAGCTGACAGCAGACCGGCTCCAGCTCCAGCTCACGTATCTCGTCCAGCAGCAGTTCTATCTCGTCCGTGCCATATAGATCAGATACAGACGGTATGAAACGTTGGGGTTGTTGCATTGCCCGTTGCGGGATGTGTCCCACATCACCGATGGTTGCCCCTCAACTTTCAATAACTGCTTCCACGCTCTGTATCTCTTTCTCTCCCGTCCGTGGTGCTATGTACTCTTTGTCTCTTTTTCTCTGTCTTGTTCTCTTCAGCGTATCTGGAAGTGAAAGAGTGAAGAAGGAGATCCAATGAGTTCTCCATTTTATATGCCACAGAAATTGATAACTGTCAAGCAGCCTGCCCCCGACGCTCATTAGAGGCCCCTCGAACCCATCCCCATCCCCATTTCCATTCCCATCCCCATCCAAAGCTCCGTTCTGTACCAAGCTTTTGTGCATAACCATAACGGTAATTTGATATGAGTCGTCGACGACGACTTTGACGTTGCCGCGGCTCGGCTGTCACTCATACGCCATGTGTGCCGCGGCAAAGCGCTTCTAGCGAGCCCCTTGGGTGTTGCCAATCAGAATACACTACGGCCAGGGCCTAGGGCTATGTGAACTTCCACATCAGATTTGTTTATATTAATATTAAAGTAGGGATTTAAGTAAATAATGCTGGAATCTGTATGGAATGAGAAATGAACGCTTAAAGAGATTAACTTTCACAGTCAGGAACTTTTAACTACAGAGTATGTACTCCTGACTGTGTGAAAATCGGAATGTTAATCCAATAAGTAAATATTTCCTATTCGTCTATGTAGGTATATTTATACAATTCCTTCCGCAATTCCTGATTCCAAATTAAAACCAAAAGCGTTCATCAATCAATTTAATTCAAAGCAACAGCACGAGAGGAGTAACTGCCATGTTTCATTTATCAACTTCACGTCTAATTACCGAGAGAACCACTCGCTTCGGCACTCCGCTACAGTTTTCCATTTATTATTTTTAATTGCGTCTGATGCGCGGTCTCTGATAAACCTCTCCACATTCCGCATTCCACATTCCAGATGAGGTGGCTGCCAACTTGAAATTAAATCGAATTGGTTTTCCTTTTACCACCAGGTAGGAGTCCTCCTCCTGCTCCTGCTCCCGCTTCAGCCACACATCGATGGCCCCAGCGCGTATGCAATGCATTTTTTTTTGGTTCAGTGAAACATTTTTATGCCACACACATACACCGGCAATTAACACAGACAGATGCATGTGTGTGTGTGTTTGTGGAATACATGAAGAGGAAACTCCTTGGAGAATTTCAACAATTTTCGACATGGACTGCTGCCTGCCTCCTGCCTTCCTGCCTGCCTGCCTGCCTTTCTGCTGTCCGGCAGCATTCGCCTTGAGTTGTCATAATCAGGACACAAAATGAAGGTAGCTTATGCTCCCTGCTGTCATTCGTCCTGTTGTCATACCCTGGACGAGGGTATGATGATTATGAAAAGATGTTTGCAATGAAGGGAATAAAGCAAGCATCTCAAAGTGGAATATAACCATCTTTTTAGTAGTACAGAAATCGGCAATGCTCAAATCGGATTATCTGGGAAGAACATACTAATTTATAAGGACTAAGGACTTTCTTTCCGAACTTAATCAGCGCCGGCAAGGGTATAGCCAGCTTCCTAACCCGTATACCCGTACCTACTGTTGCTGTGGCAGCAGCACAAGGACTCTGGGGCAGGCAGTGGCAGTGGCATGCAGCAGCAGGACAAGAGCAATGCAGCTGGCCAGTCAACACGAGAGGAACTGAGGCATAGGAGCAGCCCATATGTACATACGTATATCTCTCTCGACAGGCAATGTAACAACTCACTCTCTCTCTCTCTCTCTCTCTCTCTCCCTATCTCTCACACTCTTGCGCTCCCTGTATTTCTATGCTGCTCTCTTTTGGCTGTTTTTTTGTGAAGTTTTTGTTGCTGTCAGAGCCTTAGCCTCTGCTTCTGCTGATGCTGCCGCTGCTGCTGTTCGTGTTGTCCTTGCTCTAGTTTGAGCGCGAGAATGTCCCCAGCCTCCGGTTTTGGACCTGGTCCCCCCCACCGTCAACCCACCTATACACGCCCTTATCTGTGGCTATTATCGCTGCATATAATCTGCTAGGAAAAAGAGTACCCATCGAGTGCCTAATGAGAGTCCTTGTCAGCATCTTTCTGAAAGGACAATCATGCTCTATCTTATCCCATCGATTCCCCCGCATTAAGCCCTTCACCAGAACCTACCACACAGGCTCCAGCCCCCGCCATCGTACAATTTGGAATCAATTATGCTCATCTGCATATAAACTGACTTGGCTTCCTGTAGGGCTCCCCCTCGAGCCACCACCGCCGCCACCGCCATCAGCACCTCACGGAAGTGGAAGTGGAAGTGCAAGTGCTGTGTATGCAAATTTATTATGGAATGAGTAAAAGAAGGATGGCAACTGGCGTTTAGGCCTCATGCTAGTATAGCCTGCAGGACAGGACAGGGCAGAGAACGGCAGTGGTAGTAGGTTCAAGGGTTGGACACTCATCGGGGCTCAACGCTGGCGTCGGCTGCATTTCTTATTTATGAACGTGCATAGACAATGCCCTGGGCCGCAGCCCGACTCTTGTTGCTTTTTGTTTGAGTTGAGTGCGGACATGGCACGGACACGGTACGGTATGGTATGGTACGGCACGGTACTCTATGCCTTCCTAAGTACACAATCACACAGCACAGCACTGCACGGCACACCCATCCATACGATGTGCAACTTTTGTCGCATTCAATGGACCAAAGTTGCCGTAAATAACTTTTAATAGAATTTTTAATGGGCTTCGGTTCGGTTCGCTTGGTTGGCTGACCAAATCGTTTGTTGGACTCCACCTAAAACTCAGCCATATTGTATGGCAATTTCCTATTAATATAGATTGCTGTAATGACTTTGTCCAGGCAATAAACGCAAATACGGAATTTGTTTGGCAAATATTACAATAAGTATTTGGGCTGTGGTCATGGAAAGGCATGAAATGGTACGAATATGAGAGGGTAACTATATTGAAGACAAACAGATAAGACATATTTAGCAGACAAAAATATTTATCAATTTAGCGCCATTTAGTTCCTTAGCATTTCTTTAGACACCGTTTGTTCTAGGGTTTAACTAAGAAAAATCATGCCTAATTGGAGCTTAATTTCTGCCCCTGGTTTCAGGAAACGAAACACACCAAGCTGAAGCTGAGAAGGACAAAAAAGACCCTGAATATGATTGGGTTCTTAAAGGAATTAAAAAAGATAGCAAGGCTTCTGTAAGTTCTTATCCCTTATACGATACGAGCACTGGTAAAAGCTAAGAGAACAGCTAAAGGACCTTCAAAATGATTAAAAAAATTTGATATTCCCCAAGAGATATTAGCACTGAGCAAGGCACTCCATAGACATAGCTTATAAAGCATAAGCCTCCACAATAAGACAGATGCACAGGCACATCAGATGCACATCAAATTCCACTAGATGATATTATACAATTTTCATGCGATTTCTTTCGCAAGGCAAACGAAAACGAAAACTTCTCTATGCATTTTAAACTTGCACAGAACTTTTGCTGGAATAATAAATTTTTTATGGGCTTGGAGAAACTAATGACCTAAGCAGGGACCACGATGGATCCACGTAAAGTTATCAGCCACGTGGTCTTTGAACTGTGACCATAAACCATGGAGCATAGAGCAAATGTCGGACAGGGCTTGGGCTTGGGTTGGGGCTTGGGGGGTCCTTCGTAAGTTGCGTATAAATTTGAGCTAAAATTATTGGAATTTTTTGTGCTGTTGCTGGTTGCAGACATTTTGACTCTCGTCCTCGATTCGTGGCGGCAACATTCAATGCGGCTGGTCTGGGTCGAAAGAATGGGGGGCATGGGGCATGGGGCATGGTATTGGGGCCGAGTCTGTGAGTCTTTTGCCTACTTATTATGCCGCCGCATGTTTCTCTATGTTTGCTCTTTCTTTTTTGCGGAATTATCGATTATAAATGAATATTTCATTAGGGGAGAAGCTTGGAGAGTGGGAGAGAGGGGGAGAGTGGAGAAGGTGCCTGGTGCCTGGCACCTGCTGCCGGCTGGCTTCCGTTTCCGGGTCGCGACACTTGCAAGGCTATTTTCAATTAAAATGCAGCATACTTTTCCACTTCTCCGCTTCACACGTATTTGTCTCTCTTTCTCACCCTCCATCTCGCTCCACTCTTTCTATACACTCTGTATCCCTCTGTGTGTCTCTGTGGAATGTTGTATAATGGATGGTATCCCCACTTCTGCTTTGTGTCGCATAATTACCAATGGCAGGATAATTAAGGCAGCGCCAGCCAGGGGCCAAAATAAAAAGGACAACGAGCCCCGAATGCGGGTCCCGGCTCCAGGGATTTGCAAATGGCGTGGGTCGAGTAGGAGTGGGAGGAGGCCTGCCAGTGGGGGTGGCCAGTGGGTGGCAGGTGGTTGGCCGGTGCTACGAGCACGTGACTAACGGTAATGGCACGCCAAATCACAGAGCGAATGAAATATTTTCGGTGGGAGTGTTTTTGCCACTCTGTTCATTGCGAATCCTAAATGAGTGTCCTTTGTATGCGGCAAGGTGGAGTATTTTAGCTCATTTTAAACTTTCATTTAGTTAAATTTGTATCGAAATTAATTTTTGAAGATCAGCCAAGGACCCCAGACCACCATGGCTTCTTTTAAAGTGGATTTAAGATTTATAATTTAAAAAATAAAATAAATAGCCTTAGAAGAGTAACTGATATTCGCTGACATTCTCTGGAAAATAATTTAATTTAATAGGAAATGGGGTTTTATTTTTAGACCCTTTCAGACCTGATGCTAAATGACAGAATATTACTAAATGTTTCTAGAGAATTCTGTATGCATCACGGTGTGAAAGGGCTGGAAAAGGAAATGGATGAGACCGAGTCCAATGAAGTGCCTCCAAAATAGTAGAAACCACCAAAGAATATTTAACCAAAATAAACTGCTAGTGCCCTAGGCCATAGGCTCTCACACAAGACAAGAGATCCTGATGGTATTTACTTAACAAAAACATACTTAAAATGTGCCTAAACTTATGCAAATATCTTAAGATTATGCATTAAACTAACTTAAATCTGGGCTTCGAATTTCCCTCAAACTTTTGAATCAATTAAAGAAATAAAGTTTCACTTTTCACTACTCAACTTTGCTCCCTGCGAAGGGTTTCCCTTTGGAAACCCCAACCCGTGATCCTCTTATGCTAAACTTATGCGCCAACTCCACTTGAGATTTAACCACCTCCCCCCCTAGCCAACCACACGGAGTACCCACCCCTCTCTCTCTTAGCCCAGCGGCACTCGACAAAAACTTGAGGGAAAAAGTGATTAAAGCTCACGTTTCGGGATTACGTAAGCTCCTACAGGGATACTTAGCCGGGTCCCATTTTTCCCCGTGTGTGTGTGTGTGTGTGTGTGTGTGGGGGGCTAAGCATATCATGTGTTTATGCGCGAGTCCTGAAATGAACACCTACCCCCCTGCCACCCCTCGAACCATTATATACCTCCCTGTAGGGCCACAATTTTTACCTGGGGCTTTTCGGGGCGTCCCCTGACACGTGAGCTCCATAAAATACAAGGAAGCCTCGTCATGTCATGGACGTTGCAGCACGCGAGCGGCCCAATGGGTCCCTCATCCGTACACTCCACGTTTGCGTTGCTTTTAGCCCCCCTACCGACTTTTTCTAACCGCTTTCCCTTCTTGGCTCCTTTCCTGTACGCTTTCACACCCCCCACTTCCCTCGCAGCTTTGCCCCCTGCTTCATTGCGTTTTCACTTTTGTTGGGAATCATTGTTGTTTCGCCTGTCGAGGGAATTAAGCATTTTGACCAGATGTTTTCAATGCACAGAATAACCACAAAGGGATATATATGTATATATAATATAATATTGTCTGTTTCTTTAGCTATTTTTGAAAAATATCTGGCTGTAGATCGTCTCATAAATATAGTCTATAGATTAAATTTTGTAGAGAAACCTCGAAATATTATGCTGGGTGAAAATTCTCCTTGTAGATTCATCTTTCCTTTTTACTCAACAAAAATTATCATTTCGCTATCTTTCAGATCGATGTTTATATTCTTCAAGATTCATCAATTTCAAGGTTATTTAAATATCCATTGCCCTTTGATGGGTTAGGGACCAATGGAAGAAAAACAGAGCACATAACTTTTCATTTTCAACAACAATCAAGTCTGTTCTTTAATCATTATCCAAATTGTTTTCAAATCAATACAAAAATGTATCTACAAGGGTATCCAAATCTCTTCTCTTCCCTTTACGCTTTTTTACGCTGCGTAAACACCGCTATTAAATTTGAACTGACCCCAAAACTGACTGCTGACCGAGCTCGGACCGAAAAGCCATCAAATACCCAAGCTGCAATCCAACATTGTGGCTCGTGCTCCTCCGCCCGTACCCCTAAGCCTAACCCTACCGCCTACCCCTCCAATGACAGTAAACGGGCGGTGCAACAACCTCGTTTAGTTGCAGCAACGACCTTGACTCAGTTTCATTTTTACATTTTCTTAGGAAAGAGGAAGACGAAGGCAAAACGAAGCCCAGGCGAAATAGGAGAAGTCATAGAAAGGCTAAGACACCCCACCAAGTGGTGTTAGTCTCTCGAATATCGTGTCTTATTAATAAGGCTTAAACCGTCTAACGGCAATTTAATTGCAGCAACACACACACCCCCACCCCCACCCGCACCCCCACCATTAGGCCATATGAGGTTTGGTTCTATGACAGCAAACTAAAAATAAACAAATGAGCCAAGAAAAGTAACAAAAAAAAAAACAACCAAGAGGTTGAGGCAGCAGCTGACCAGCGCCTGCGTAAAGAGAAAGAGAGAGAAAGTCAGAGAGAGGGGGAGAGAAAGTAAGAGAGATAGTGAGCTTGAACAGAGATGGAGAGAGAGAGAGAGGTTGCGAGAGACAGAGCAAAATGATTGTTGTGGCTGCAGAAGGATTTCAAGGAAGTGAAATAGCTGCAGACAGCATTTTTCACACACAAAGTTTCCTATTTTCTTCCTCTTCCTGCTGCTCCCTCCTCCCATTATCCACCGCCCACCCCTCTACAGAGTTTTCCCTAGCTGTCACTTCCTCTCCATATCCATTTTTGCCTGTGTGTTGGCGTCTGTTCAATCTCTCGAACTGCCCTGCACACACACACACACACACTCACACACAGTAGCCTTTTACACAGATTTTGTTTTTTGAGCCTTCAGTTTTGATTTTACGGAATTTTTGCTACGAATTTGAAAGCATTTCCCAGAATTTATATGTATTTCGAGGCAAAAAGACTTTGACACAACATTTGTTCGCACTGTAGCTTGAATATTTTATGAGAGCTCAATTGGGGCTTGGAACTTGTTATTGGATGATGGAAATGCATGAATATTTAGCAGAAAATAGAGAAGCTCCTACTAGATAAAAGCTATCAAGCATGGGGGATGTACATGATATAAAATCTCTTCAAGTAAATGTTTTTAATTGAATATAATATCAATACCAACTAAAAATACAATTCTCTTGGTATTCCAGCGGCTAATTAAGGGTACCAAAATTATGTTAATGTTGGTTCATAAATCATTTAATGAAGGAAAGGCATGAATGTGAATGAATATTCAAAGAATTGAAGCCACAATCGTGTTTCCCCCTTATGGTCGAGATTACTAGGGCTAATTAAGACTAAACAGAAGGTAATAGAAATACAGAAAATGGTCTATACTTAGAGTAAACGATCTCGACAATAAACAAACCAATTAATGAAAGTTAGCTACAGGAATCGATTAGTATTATTTCGTTAAGGAGCGTTAAGGAACTTCCATATTAATAACCGTTCCTTATAAATACTTCCATTTACCTAAGCCAAAATTCAATAAGAAACTCCTTCAGAGAAGTCGATGCATAAATGTATTTAAATATTCTCCATTGCCAAAAGAAACTCCAATAAGATCTATAAGACCTATGGTATTTATTTTATCATTTATTCCTTTTATTATTCATACAGGCTTACATATGCCCTGCATCTCCACTCTGAGCCCACAACTCCACCCATTTCGAAAGCCAAACAAACGCTCAAAGGCGAGCACATACGAGTATATCTAGGGAAGTTTCCTATTTCTTAATTAAGAAGCTCATATTGCCATTTCCCTACCAAGACTCTTATTTACTTGGACACTTTCTTAGCCATAAAATCTATTAATAATGTGATGGCTTATATGCCCTGTGTTATTTGCTCGTTTTGATGGTAAAACAACTTGCAAGATTTAATGTTTTCTTTCATTTGGCGGTGAATTTGGTTCAATTGAACCAATTCCGAAAATGAATCTTGCACAAACATCCCTAGCCAAGGCTTTTGCGTACGTATTAGTAATGTTTTCCTCAGTTTGTGTGTGTGTGTGGCAAAGTGTTATATTGACATTTGGCTACATAATGATTTATGCTGCTGCAGGCAGGCAGGCAGCAGACAGCAGCAGCATCATCATCACAGGCAGGCAGCATCGTCGAGCACTCGAGAACGATCCTTGGCTTCATGTAATCCCTGTGCTGCCACTTGGCTGCTATTTTCGAGGCATGGCCATAATTTATTTTTATATTTACAACAACAAAAACAGGAAGGAGGCAACTATTACACACATTTTGAACGGCAGGAGTACCAAAGGGGTCTGCGACGGTGACTGTGGGGCAAGCGAAGGGCAAGCGCGCTGGAAAGCATGCTATGATTTCTGTTGCCACACGCGTGGGCGATGCGTGTTGGGGGGGGGGGGGGGCACCACAGTGGGAATGGGGTGATTGGGTGGCATTTCGTGTATACAACTAGTTAAATAAATTTACACTTGACCCACCTTTTTATTCGCTATATATATACACGTATGTATGTGTGTGTGTCTGTGTGTGTGCTTTTTTCTGGTTTCCAAATGCGCGGCTCGCAGCGTTCACGTAGTTTCTATTTCCCTTTCGTCGCGCAAAAATCTCTCGAAAATTGCCTTTTTATATGCTTTTAAATGTTGCACATGTGTATGTATGTATGGCTTTGTGAGAGGGTGTTGGCGTGTGTGTGTGTCGTGTGTGTGTCGTGTGGGTGTGAATGGAGGGAGGGGAAAAGTGAGAGGCAAGGCTGGTCTGCTCTTGCTCTTCCTCGTCAGCGATTCGATGGCAGGTTCATTCATGGGCCAGGATTCAGGCCCAGGACACGGACTGTCGTCGCCTGTCCGTCGTAATGGAGTGTGTGTCCGTGTGTGTGTGTGGCACTGTTGTTTGAATGGTCGTGTATGTGTGCTGCAGCATATTTATGAAGCACAACGTTCGCCTCCACGTTTCCACGTTTCCACGTTTTCCCTTTTCACAGTCCCAATTTTGCGATTAATTGCAATTTCGCACACACTTTTTTGCTTGAACGCGTATTTGGCTCTACTTTTCTCTTGGGGTATTTCAATTTTCCATTTCCATTTTCGTTTGATGGCAGCGCCAGCACAAAACAATTTTCATTTCCAGCGAACACAAAAATCATTACTCAGTGCGACCGAAAGTATGCACGCTTTTCCCATTTTCCGCTGTCTTTTCGGGCCATGCTGTGCTGCTGCCTTTCAACATTTGCTCGCACTGGCACTCACACTAGCGCACTGGCTGGCGCACACACACTGAGGCTCTCGGAGATAGGCTGGGCCACACACACACACACAACCATACACACAGGCACAGAGGGGAGAGTGGCGTGTGGTGCGGTGTTGGGCAAGGGAGGGGGCACAATGCAAAGCAGCAGCAGCAGCAGCGGTAGTGGCAGCGGCAGCGGCAGCGACGTAGCAATGGATAACGCAACGACAAACGCAAAACGGACGACGCCAAAAACCACCGACGCGACGCACAAAAAACGGACCAACCCACAGAGAACCGACAGCGTTGAAAGCCAGCAAACGACTGAGAGCTTTGGAGCTGCTCCAAGATGCACAGAGAGAGAGAGAGAGAGAGAGATAGAGAGCGAGGCCCCCCAGTTAGAGAGAGAGAGAGTGGGAGAAGGCTACCCGGAAAGGAGAAAGTGATGGCAGGAGAGAGCGCTGCGTGTGTCCTTTGCAGACTCTGTTCCCGGAACTAGCTCGCAGCAGGCAGATGGGAGAGAGCGAGAGCACAGCACGAAGAGAGAGAGAGAGAGTGCAGGCCGATTACACTGGAAAGAAAAGGATACAACTAAATAAATCTATAGGAATGTAAAGAAATGCTGGAAAGCCGAAGATTTACCCTGAAAAGACTTTCAAAATTGTTGTACTTTTGATTTAAGAAGTAGTTAAGTATTTTCACCATTTTTAAGACCGATATATGATAAGATAATAGAGCGATTTTTAATAAATTTATATCTTCTATTGAGCATCCTTTTTGTAACAAGTCGTATATTTTAAACCATTCAAACAGACATTTCGGAACCACTCGGAACAATTATCCCTAGAAAAACACAGAGACATGTGTTTATGATATAAAAATCCATTCATGAGGTTTAAAGAGGTCTTCAGCTAACTCTACAACTTCTAGACTAATTACACTGATATATCTTATTGGAATCGACTATTTAATATCAATAATACATTTCATATTCGTATTTCCATGACAAAATTGATACCAAAATGATGATTAAGAGCTTTTTTGCCCTGTGTAGTGCTTGTCTTCAATGAGAGCAAACGATTAGGCTGATAAGCTGTCCAAGCACGACCAGACCTATGCGAATCTATTGTATTGCATGTCTGACCGATCGATCAGTCGTGCCCAGCACGTTAACACGAACGAACGTGTACAGATCGGGATAGAGAGAGAGATATAGGTATAGGTATACAGAGAGAGAGAAATCAGAGCCGAGTGTACGCGTACAGAGTGTATAAAGTGCAGCAGCTATACTAAGTATAGCTTCTGTTTCGATCTGTCTTGTGTCTTTACTTAGAATCAACCGAAAATGGAAAGGTATGGGTGATATACTATATTTGGCTAATGATAGATTACAAGTCTTTTGTTCTTTTACCCACACAGCTTCTGGCAAGAGTTGAAATCGTTGTTGAAGACCTTACTGTGCTTTGTGGTGGCTGTGATGCTAATGCCTTTGCTGCTGTTATCGTTTCTATGTAAGTGATCATCATCATCTCCCCAGCAACGATCGGATCGATCCAGTGTACCAGATGATCATCGATTGATCAGTTCGACACGCGCTGCCTACGCTGATAAGACGAGTAGACCACTGGCCCCCCTATAAATCAAGAACATCAAACACGACCGACTATATAAATAAACGAGGCATGGGTTGATTAACCGATTCCACTCAGCCAAAGGATAGCTCTAGTTCTACCATATAATTGGCTCTCTTCCCAGTGAAAGAGAGAGTGTGGGTCAGAACGAGAGACAGTCCCAGAGATAAGCTTTTTGTTTATAAATAATAGAGAGTACCTGTTGCACCTTTGGCGCAACCCAGACGAGCGCCCGAGCGAACCTTGACCATCCGAATTACTCATAAAAATTTTGCAGCCGATAAGGCAGCATTGTTACTGCGGTGGGTTCGGTCTTTCGGGTGGGCGATAATGCTCGAGGTTTTCCCTCTATTTAGACTCCAATAAGAAAGAAAGCCGAATCAAATCCAATCCAATCCAAATCAGCTATCAGCTAGGCTGACACCTCGTCATATTTCGTCTTTTTTTTGCAGGCGCACACTTTGGCAACGAGCTGGTCAACTACATTCTGAGTATCAAGTATCCCAACCTGACTATCTCCAAGTCGAAGAAGATTCGCACTTTGATCGACACCCAGAAGAATGCCGGCATCTTTCACTTTCTGCTGCAGGTGGAGGGAGCCTGCGACTTTGAGCTGATCAAGCGATCGTACGCCCAACACCTCACGGACCTGCGGGACAAGACGGGAATGGTGAGGTTCCCGAAGCTAAGACAGAAGCTGGTCAACTGTTGGGGTCACTATGCCTGGGTGAATGATAGCAGGTAGAGATGATCAATGATCAAATGATTTATAAACGTTAATGAGCTCTTTCTCTTCCCAAACATCCCATCAGTGGTTTCAACATCAACAACCATGTACTACTCAGCACCCACAAGTACCGGGGACGCCCTGTCAACGACTCCAATATCCAGGATTACGTGAGCGAGCTGGCCACCAAGTACATACCCTCAGACCTGCCTCAATGGCAGGTGATTGTAATACCCAGCTCCGATAGCACCCAGCCCTACTACATCCTGATCAAACTGCACCATTTAATCATCGCCGAGGAGGAGGATCTGCATGTGGGGGAGATGCTCTTGCTGCACGACACCACGGAGAAGAAGACCGTGATGACCCTGAACGATGGTGTTCTGGGCCAGAGTCCTTCACAGCAACTGTCCCACTTTGTGCGGCAGCCAGAGCACATCAGTCGACTGGTCAAACATCTGATGCACTTGGTAATCTGTCGCTGGCAGCAGTTCATCTACGAATTCGAGTCCCTGGAGACGCCCGATGGCGCCTCATCCAGCATCCAGGTGCGGTCTCTCAGCCAGCTCTTGTCCCTGATCCTTATTGTGCTGGTGAATGTGGTTCTGGGGTACTGGCGGAGTCGCTCAAAGCTTCTCAAGCTGAAGCGCCGTTCCAGTGGCTATAGGAATGATGTGGGCCGCCTGATGACGATTCGATTGCTGCTCAGAAGGGAGCTGGAGCATCGCAATCTCAGCTGGACGGTGGCCAGAATGGCCCTGTACAATAGTCTGCAGCCCACGAATCTGGCCAAGGTCTGGACCCGCTTCATGTGGCGCTTCAATCTGAACCATGGGCTGCTCCTGCCCTACCACTTCTACTGCGAGGCCCTGGCCATGCGGGATGTCCTGCTGAGAGGCCAGACCAGCTACACATCCACCTACTGTGCCCGGCTGCATCTGTATGTGCCGCTCCTGCTGTACGCCCAACTGGAGCTGGTCAAGATCTGCTGGGAACTGTTCAAGGCGCCCCGTAACATCTATGAGGTGCTGTTCGAACAGCCCACCAAGGAGTTGAATATTCTGCACAAGAAATCCTATGCGGGCAGGAAAATAGTCTCCTTCAGTCGCTCTATAGACGGCACCCAGCTGAGGGAACGACATCGGGACAGATTTAACGACCAGCTTCGTGAATCGGACTTTAGTCTCACGTGTCTGGCCGGCGCCGTACATGATTACTTCAACACCTTCTCCGATCTGGCGCCAGTGCCTTCGCTTTTGAACACTACTTGTAGGACCATTTCTAAGGGATACTTCACCGATCGCCGAGGGGACAAAAGCGATAATATAGGTGGTGTGGTCTTTCTGCAGCTGCCACTGCGTCAGCCAGATGTGGAGCATGCCCGTCATTTGCACGGAATTGTGGAGTGCATCAGGCAGCAGCAGATCATGATCTATTTGGCCTCAATCGGTCAGACCAAGTACAGCATGCTAACGGCCCTCCTACCGCATGTCCTTACCAAGATCTTCATCAACTTCTTCTCGTATAATTTTCCAATTACGATCACAGAGATCTATGGGTCCTCGGCCGAGTTCCAGTCGACTTGGGGCCAGAGGGTTCAGGATGTGCTACTCTTCAGGCCCCCCCAATCGAAGACTTGCCTTTCCCTGAACCTCCATCGCTTCGGAGATAAGTACAGGCTGGCTATTATGGCAGACACACATCTGGCCCCGGATCACACGATCATAACACGATCTTTCGAACGATATATGGAAACAGTAACACTCTGATTCCCAAACTATTATAAATGAGGGGAAACTATAACTTTCAAGTATACGAATAAAATTATTATCTATTAAAATGCAGGTTTCTATGAAATTGTATGCAGAATCCTCCTTTTCAGGGCATAGTCAAACGAGTATACTAAAAAACTCGAATCGATTGAAAATCTTCATATATATCGTACCCTTCAAAAATGGACTCTTCCTACATATCTGGTTTATCCCTTCGTTGGGTTTCAACTAGCAAAGTAACCCTGTTATTAAAGCATACAAAACAAACTCGAATCGGTTGAAACCTCAAAAAATATCTCTCGATCTATGGATAATCAAGCCTACAATTATTGCTTGGACTTTTCGAATTTTTACGAGGCCAGAAGTGCAAAAATAAAACCGATTTGCTCATTTCTCCAAGTTTCCGACATGAATCAACGGACAATCGACAGCAATGCCTCGTTAATCATAAACGAGGAGGTGTCACAAAAGGATAAGCGCACGCCACGAGAGATGGGAGGTGAAATGTCTTCTCAAGCCTATCTAGAGGACCTAAAATGGCCAACGAAGAACCTTTCAAAGCAGCAACAGCAGAAGCCTTCTATCCTGGACCAGACACAGGCTCAGGAGCGCATGTGCGCGAACAGATCCGGCTGTGGTATGAGCCGTAGCTATCATCCAGGCGATTACCTAGCACAACAGCCGCATCAGAGTCAGAAGTATAAGAAGAATTTAAACCAGAGTCCTGCCAACAAACAGCAGACTTCTCGGGATCCTCAACAACAGCAGCCGCAGCATCTGTGTGTGGAGCAGAGAAGCCAGACTCCTCCCATGCCGAGTCAGTGTCTCCAGACTTCATATCCGAAACTTCCTCAAGAACAGGCACAGCGTTATGACAGTCCGAAGAAAAAATGTTCAATCAGAGCCAGCTCCAAAGGTATGAAAGTCCGATTTTTGCGTCCTCCGCGACGAAATGTTTCCTTTCTGACGGAAAATCCAAAGCCCTCCAACGAGGGCTCGAGCAATACGGACGAGGAGAATTTAGCCGATAAACGTGATGAACGTGATAAAAATACATCAAATAAGTACATGGAATTCCTGCCTCAGCACTATTCGCATCAGCAGCAGCACCCACATGAACAGTATCGGACGGCTTTAAATCATAACTCTCCTCAACGCAATCAAAGCCAGAAGAAAGCACCCATAAGCAAAACTAAAGACGTCCTATCGCCGTGTCCACATCAGTACAGTCCGCAAAAGCCAAATATACTTTCTAAGAACACGGACGTGACAGATTTTCACCAATATATTAAAGAACTTGATAAAAACGCATCGTGCGAGTACAAGGAATATGCCCCTAAACTCGGTCAGAGTCCAGCCCATCTTCATAAGCACAAACAGGAGCATTATCAAAAGAATTCAACGTCACGTCAGAAGGTCGAAAAACAGCAGCTGTATCCGATTCATCTGCAGCAGCAATCATACCCGAATCCTTGTGAGAATACTTGTGAAAAGCCGTCACAACGTAATCAAAGCAAGATGCAAGCTAAGGATATCCCATTGTCGACTTCTCATCAATACGGTGGTCTCCCTGTGCCGGATAAGTGGGGCAGAGAGATTGGTGGGGAACTTCTCGCTAAGACTCGGACTCGGAGCACGGACAGCATCTCCACAGGATCGTCCCGGAACGAGCTGTGTTCCATGGTCCGGGACGAGCTGTGTGCGCTGGTCCGGAACGAGATTGAAATTCAGTCGGTGTTCGATGAACTGTCTGATACTGTGATCTGTCATGTGAAGGACTTTTTGTGTGGGCTGTCAACAACTGACAATGTTCCCCCGGACGAGTATATGAAAGAGAGTGTATCTACAAAGGCACCCAAGAATTCAGCCATAGATGATGTCCTGGATACCAAGAGGCAAACCCAAAAAGAAGCATCGCCTATCAAAGGCATATTAAAAGCTCAAAAAGTTCAAATGCCGCAAACTCCAGGGCTAGACAGAAAAAATGTGGGGGAGCTCCAGTCTGTGAGCACACTGTACAAGAGCATGGAGTATGTTCCTAGAAAAGTTTCGCTTCAGAATCCTACTCAGCGTACCTATCAGGATCTTACCAAAGAGAAGACACAGAAGTCGGATCGACAGGCTTCGCAACATTCCCATCGTACATCGAAGCTGAAAGCTCAAAAGAATCCTCAACAGAAGGATCCAAATCAGCAAATCGCGGACTTTCCTCCATTCTCGCGCTTCGGCGATACGCCTGAGGATGATTCCGAAAAGTGTAATTTCGGAGTGGATAAAAAGGCACGCAACAAGTTCATGGAATGTTACGGTAAAGGCTTCCCAAAGCACAAGCCCAAGCACAGGCAGTCCGGTGCCGGGCATGGGGTGTTTTCCATGGCCAGTAGCAGCTCGGTATCGACTTCGATCAGTGCCAAGAGCGGGGACGAGCTGCGTGCCATAATCTGGGACGAGTTGCAATTGCAGTCGGTGCGTGGTGATCAAACATCCAGCCCACGATATAAGGATCTTGAAGAGAAAGTTTCCACACGTTCAGACTTGAATCCGCCCAGAGATCTCACCCATCCTTGTTCAAACGTGTCCAAGTTTCAGGATATGAAGGAAACAATGTCCAAACACATCGGTTCCCTCTCCAATTTGGCCATAGCTGTTCATGCGCCCACCACTGATTCATTTAAGAGTTCGACAACAGATCAGATGCCACAAATCGAGTGCAGTATGAGTGTAGCCGATTTAGTGCGCTACAAGGTAATCACTCCCATGATCATGAAGATACACAAAAGGTATATGACCCATATGCAGAATGAGATGCATCTCTTGAAGTATCTGGAGACGGTGCCGCGCCTTGTCGGTCAGATTTACAAGGACAACATCACGATGGAACAGAGGAAACTCTAAAAATGTTTAAAGTCACTTTTGATTCAATGATACCTTTTAATATATTTTATAATTATTGTATTAAATAAACAATATAAGGATCTAGAAGAGTCAGTTTCCACCCTTTCAGACTTGAATCCGCCCAGAGATCACACCCATCCTTGTTCAAACGTGTCCAAGTTTCAGGATATGAAGGAAACAATGTCCAAACACATCGATTCCCTCCCGAAGCTGTAGCCATAGCTGTTAATGCGCCCACCACTGATTCATTTAAGGGTTCGACAACAGATGAGATGCCACAAATCGAGTAAAACACTGTAAAACAAAAAATATATAATAAATGCAGAAGGGGTAGTTACGAGAACGGCACAAACAGCACCTGCACGAGATCGTCCGTGATCACTGTGAAGAGCAGGGACGAGTTGCGTTCCATGGTCCGGGACGAGCTGTGTGCCTTGGTCCAGAACGAGAAATTCAGTCGGTGTTCGACGAACTGCTTGATACTGTAGTCTGTCATGTAATGGACTTTTTGTGTGAGCAGTTGTTGACAATGTTCCCCCGGCCTAGTATAAAGAAGAGAGTGTATCTACAAATGCACCCAAGAATTACAAAGATTACCAATAACACAAAACCAAGTAGGAAGGGGAAAGATATAACGGCTGGTGTTGGTATGAGAAGAGTGAGAGACAGACAGATGTAGCGTAATAAGAAACAGCAGCATAAAAATAGAGACAGACATAAAAAATATTCTAAAGTTCTAATAAAATCGGTCATAAGGTGGATAGAGGAGAAAAGAAATACCAATTGAGAGAGATCTTCCCTCCCCACTTTAAAAAAGAAATCAATTCGTTCCTGATTGCCGCCTCTCTCAACGTTTCCACTCATTTTGAAAATAAGAATAAAAACCCTACCACACAAAACTTGACTTTTCTTTCATCATATTAGTTTTCATGCTTTCAGTTCGAGCAAGCAAAGTAATCTTGTTATAAAAGTCATCCTTGAATAGGGTAAAATCTCGTCATACGAGTATACTGAACAAACTAGAATCCATTGAAACAGCACCCATCCCATCTTCTCTCGCTTGATGGATACAGATGATCGCAAGTGTTGCACGAATTCACGTAAGCAATCCCACAATGGCAACAGAGAAAAAACAAGTCACAGAAATCGCTCCTCAATAGAGGATGAGATGCCGCCACAGAGCAAGAAAAAGCTACGGAAGGAAGTCCATAAGATTCTATCTCCTAGCGATCTAAGAACATTGCAATGGCTTACGGAGAAAACTCCAATCCAGGAGAAGACTAAGGTTCAGAAAACACATCACAGATCTGTCCTAGTGCAGCGGTCCAGTAATCCTGACAAGATTATACATTCGCATGCGAATCCTCACACTGATACCCAGGCAGAGGATGATCAGAATCGGCAGAGCACCTCCAAAATGATGCAGAAAAATCTGCAGAAAGAATACCAGAAACCCCCTAAGAAAGATCCACATGAGGATCCTCTTCAGAAGGCGACTCATGATCAGTTCAAGCAGAAGTCACCAGAGGAATATCGAGAGTCTGCGTATCATAATTCTATAAAGAAGCATTCGCATGAGAATCCTCACACGGAAACCCAGATAGAGGACGATCAAGATCAGCTCAAGCATAAACCTTCGGAGGAGTATCGAGTGTCTACGTATCATAATTCTATAAAGAAGCACTCGCATGAGAATCCTCCCACGGAAACCCAGACAGAGGATGATCAGAATCGCCAGAGTACCTCCAAGATGATGCAGAAAAATCTGCAGAAATTATACCAGAAACACCCTAAGAAGGATCCGTATGAGGATCATCCTAAGAAGCCGTGTCAAGATCAGATCAATCAGAAGCCACCGGAGGAGTATCGAGTGTCTGCGTATCATAATTCTATAAAGAAGCACTCGCATGAGAATCTTCCCACGGAAACCCAGACAGAGGATGATCAGAATCGCCAGAGTACCTCCAAGACGATGCAGAAAAATCTGCAGAAAGTATACCAGAAACACCCTAAGAAGGATCCGTATGAGGATCATCCTAAGAAGCCGTGTCAAGATCAGATCAATCAGAAGCCACCGGAGGAGTATCGAGTGTCTGCGTATCATAATTCTATAAAGAAGCACTCGCATGAGAATCGTCCCACGGAAGCCCAGACAGAGGATGATCAGAATCGCCAGAGTACCTCCAAGATGATGCAGAAAAATCTGCAGAAATTATACCAGAAACACCCTAAGAAGGATCCGTATGAGGATCATCCTAAGAAGCCGTGTCAAGATCAGATCAATCAGAAGCCACCGGAGGAGTATCGAGTGTCTGCGTATCATAATTCTATAAAGAAGCACTCGCATGAGAATCTTCCCACGGAAACCCAGACAGAGGATGATCAGAATCGCCAGAGTACCTCCAAGATGATGCAGAAAAATCTGCAGAAATTATACCAGAAACACCCTAAGAAGGATCCGTATGAGGATCATCCTAAGAAGCCGTGTCAAGATCAGATCAATCAGAAGCCACCGGAGGAGTATCGAGTGTCTGCGTATCATAATTCTATAAAGAAGCACTCGCATGAGAATCGTCCCACGGAAGCCCAGACAGAGGATGATCAGAATCGCCAGAGTACCTCCAAGATGATGCAGAAAAATCTGCAGAAATTATACCAGAAACACCCTAAGAAGGATCCGTATGAGGATCATCCTAAGAAGCCGTGTCAAGATCAGATCAATCAGAAGCCACCGGAGGAGTATCGAGTGTCTGCGTATCATAATTCTATAAAGAAGCACTCGCATGAGAATCTTCCCACGGAAACCCAGACAGAGGATGATCAGAATCGCCAGAGTACCTCCAAGACGATGCAGAAAAATCTGCAGAAAGTATACCAGAAACCCCCTAAGAAGGATCCGTATGAGGATCATACTCAGAAGCCGTGTCAAGATCAGCTCAAGCATAAACCATCGGAGGAGTATCGGGTGTCTCTGAATCATAAATCTACAAAGAAGAATTATCCTGAAAGCCCTCAGAATATGCAGAAGTCATCTAATGAGCAGCCTCATAAAAATCCAGACAATATTATGCAGAAAAATCTGCAGACCGAATACCAGAAACCCCCTAAGAAGGATCCGTATGAGGATCATCCTCAGAAGCCGTGTCAAGATCAGATCAATCAGAAGCCACCAGAGGAGTATCGACTGTCTGCGTATTATAATTCTATAAAGAAGCACTCGCATGAGAATCCTCCCACGAAAACCCAGATAGAGGACGATCAGAATCGCCAGAGTACCTCCAAGATGATGCAGAAAAATCCGCAGAAAGTATACCAGAAACCCCCTAAGAAGGATCCGTCTGAGGATCATACTCAGAAGCCGTGTCAAGATCAGCTTAAGCAGAAACCATCGGAGGAGTATCGGGTGTCTGCGTATCATAATTCTATAAAGAAGCACTCGCATGAGAATCTTCCCACGGAAACCCAGACAGAGGATGATCAGAATCGCCAGAGTACCTCCAAGACGATGCAGAAAAATCTGCAGAAAGTATACCAGAAACCCCCTAAGAAGGATCCGTATGAGGATCATACTCAGAAGCCGTGTCAAGATCAGCTCAAGCATAAACCATCGGAGGAGTATCGGGTGTCTCTGAATCATAAATCTACAAAGAAGAATTATCCTGAAAGGCCCCAGAATATGCAAAAGTCCTTACAACAGTCATCTGATGAGCAGCCCCCTAAAAATCCAGACAATATTATGCAGCAATATCTGCAGACGGAATACCAGAAACCCCTTAAGAAGGATCCGTATGAGGATCATCCTCAGAAGCCGTGTCAAGATCAGATCAATCAGAAGCCACCGGAGGAGTATCGACTGTTTGCGTATTATAATTCTATAAAGAAGCACTCGCATGAGAATCCTCCCACGGAAACCCAGATAGAGGACGATCAGAATCGCCAGAGTACCTCCAAGATGATGCAGAAAAATCTGCGGAAAGTATACCAGAAACCTCCTAAGAAGGATCCGTATGAGGATCATACTCAGAAGCCGTGTCAAGATCAGCTCAAGCCGAAACCATCGGAGGAGTATCGGGTGTCTCTGAATCATAAATCTACAAAGAAGAGTTATCCTGAAAGCCCTCAGAATATGCAGCAGTCCTTGCAACAGTCATCTAATGAGCAGCCTCATAAAAATCCAGACAATATTAGGCAGAAAAATCTGCAGACGGAATACCAGAAACCCCCTAAGAAGGATCCGTATGAGGATCATACTCAGAAGCCGTGTCAAGATCAGCTCAAGCAGAAACCATCAGAGGAGTATCGGGTGTCTCTGAATCATAAATCTACAAAGAAGAATTATCCTGAAAGCCCTCAGAATATGCAGAAGTCATCTAATGAGCAGCCTCATAAAAATCCAGACAATATTATGCAGAAAAATCTGCAGACGGAATACCAGAAACCCCCTAAGAAGGATCCGTATGAGGATCATCCTCAGAAGCCGTGTCAAGATCAGATCAATCAGAAGCCACCGGAGGAGTATCGACTGTCTGCGTATTATAATTCTATAAAGAAGCACTCGCATGAGAATCCTCCCACGGAAACCCAGACAGAGGATGATCAGAATCGCCAGAGTACCTCCAAGACGATGCAGAAAAATCTGCAGAAAGTATACCAGAAACCCCCTAAGAAGGATCCGTATGAGGATCATACTCAGAAGCCGTGTCAAGATCAGCTCAAGCCGAAACCATCGGAGGAGTATCGGGTGTCTCTGAATCATAAATCTACAAAGAAGAGTTATCCTGAAAGCCCTCAGAATATGCAGCAGTCCTTGCAACAGTCATCTAATGAGCAGCCTCATAAAAATCCAGACAATATTAGGCAGAAAAATCTGCAGACGGAATACCAGAAACCCCCTAAGAAGGATCCGTATGAGGATCATACTCAGAAGCCGTGTCAAGATCAGCTCAAGCAGAAACCATCAGAGGAGTATCGGGTGTCTCTGAATCATAAATCTACAAAGAAGAATTATCCTGAAAGCCCTCAGAATATGCAGAAGTCATCTAATGAGCAGCCTCATAAAAATGCAGACAATATTATGCAGAAAAATCTGCAGACGGAATTCCAGAAACCCCCTAAGAAGGATCCGTATGAGGATCATCCTCAGAAGCCGTGTCAAGATCAGATCAATCAGAAGCCACCGGAGGAGTATCGACTGTCCGCGTATTATAATTCTATAAAGAAGCACTCGCATGAGAATCCTCCCACGGAAACCCAGATAGAGGACGATCAGAATCGCCAGAGTACCTCAAAGATGATGCAGAAAAATCTGCGGAAAGTATACCAGAAACCTCCTAAGAAGGATCCGTATGAGGATCATCCTAAGAAGCCGTGTCAAGATCAGCTCAAGCAGAAACCATCGGAGGAGTATCGGGTGTCTCTGAATCATAAATCTACAAAGAAGAATTATCCTGAAAGCCCTCAGAATGTGCAGCAGTCCTTACAACAGTCATCTAATGAGCAACAGTCGCATTCGAATCAATCACAGAAGCAGCGTTTCTCGAATGCTCCTCAGGAGCAGGCACAGCTTAATCTACGCGCGAATAAATGGATTCATAGCGAAAGCAGCTCAAAAACTACAGTCGTCCCAGTGACAGGTTCTCGGTACAATGTCCGCCTGGTACCGGAAAGCCCAGAGTTAGCCAAAGAGAATGCTATCGACGTACTTTATAGGAGCGGGGACCATCTCCAACCATCATTCATGGTCGATAAAACCAAGGAACATTTTCCAGATTCTGCAGTTGAACTGAATAAGAATACATCGGATAATCACATGGAATGCGAGTGTTGCGAAAAGGAGAACCCCGAGATGGGATCCAAATACAAGCTGTTCAGAGACGAGAATCAGATGCCTGGTACGGAGACCAATTCCTCTAGATCGAATCAAATCAGTGTGAGGGACGGGAACGAGCTGCTTTCCTTGGTCCGCAACGAGATAGAATTGCAATCGGTTTTTATGAAATTTACTGATGATCTGGTGTTGCATGCAAAGAAGATGGGCTTTTTGGCTCAGGATCATCCTCAGAAGCCGTGTCAAGATCAGTTCAAGCAGCAGTCGCAGGAAGAGTGTAAGGAGTCATTCTTTTGCAATTCTTCTAAACAACAGTCGCATTCGAATCAATCACAGAAGCAGAGTTTCTCGAATGCTCCTCAGGAGCTGTCTGCTAACAAATCGGACACCTTGAGTATGAAGAAGAAAGCCCAGGAGAATGTGCTTCAGGGGATAATAGATCAAAGAGTGAATTCGAAGGTCATCAGTCCCATGGTTGACAAGATTCAAAAACAGTATATTCAAAATCTACGACACGAGATCTCTCTGGTGGATTATTTGGAGCGGGTGCCGGTTCTCGTCAGTGAGGTTTGCAAGGGAGCAGTTTATTTGGAAGAGAGCAATGTTTCAAAATAACTCCAGACCTTTTTTAATTATTACGACCTTTGCTTTATATATTTTCTAAGCGTTTCTTAAAAAAAAAATTAAAACCCAAATAGGGAGTTTAAATTATGCTTAGTCGTTAATGGCGCCTAACAGCCCAAGTTAGCAGAGCAATGTTAAAGCGTAACATTAACACCAACACGCCACTTGGCGCTGTGTGTTTTACAACACTACAAACACGATAAACGATATCATTTATTTTGGATTTTAGCGCAGCGGCAAGAAAAAAGAAAAAAAATATTTTATTGGCCATGGCAGCACTAGAACCATAAACTCTTAGTAGCATATTCACCCAAAGACTGCACATCATCATCCAGAGCATACGGCTGGGGCACAGCAAGAGCAGAAACACTGGTTCTTGAGAGGGAGCGACGCCACATTCCGCAACATTGATTTTTCGTGGTGGACGCCACTCCAATCGGCTGGCAACGACGTTCGGTAACAACTGCTGGAATTTAACCTGTGCCACCCACCAGCCATCATGAGCGGTAAGCCGTAAAAGAGTAATGGAATTTTCTTCGCTACCTCAAGAGGTTTGGACCGGGGTTTCTAGCCCAGCAGCTGGTGTTGGGAGCTCGTCTCCTATGCATCGAAATTTGCAGTCTGCTTTTGGGCAGTGGAGTCGGGGGGCTTGGAGTCGCACCTGCGCGATGCTCCCCAGCCCCCAGTCCACTAGGACTAACCCCGATGAAGTCATCAAATTACTTTACATTGTATGTGTATACATATACGTGTGTTTGTATCTTCCCCCCTCTCTTACGGCAGGCGACGAAGGCGGCTGCAGCGAGAAGCAGACCCTGAACCTGTCCAAGCAGAAGCTGAAGAAGGTGCCCAAGCAGGAAGATGCCCACAACATACGCAAGCTGATACTGGACGAGAATGAGCTGCAGAAAATAGACAACATTGACTCGTACCTCAAGATAGAAACGGTTCCTTAAATTGATACCCTCTTAAGACCTGAATTTGCGCTTATATAAATTATGTTTTTCAGCTGTCGCTGGCGAAAAACCAATTGCTGCGCATGTATGGCGTGTGCCGGCTGCACTGTCTGCGCGAGCTAAACCTCTCCTTCAATGGCATTCTCTCCATCGAGGGCCTGAAGGATTGCCAGCATTTGCGAGTGCTCAATTTAGAGGGCAACAACATCAAGACCATCGAACATCTCAACACGAATGTGGCGCTGGAGTGCCTCAATCTGGCGGAGAATAGCGTCACTAGCATATCCGACATCTCATATCTGTGCAACCTCAAGGAGCTCTACCTGCACGGCAATCGTCTGACGCATCTGCGGCAATGCGACAAGTACTTGCCCACTTCCCTGGAGACTCTAACGCTGGCCAAGAACAACATCGACGACTTGAACGAGATCTGCACGCTGTCGCATCTGAGCAATCTGCAGAGCCTCTCCATCACAGAGAATGGCTGTGTGAACATGGCCCTGGGACCCAACAGCGTGGAGTGAGTAGGATCCTCCCTTAAAATCTCGGCATAATCTCACTGAACTTTTTTATGTCCTTAACTTTTAGCGGCTTTGACTATCGACCTTTTGTCTTGAATTGGTGCATGAGCCTCAAGTGCATTGACGGCTATGCGGTGGATCCCATCGAGAGCCTCAAGGCCGAGTGGCTCTACAGCCAGGGACGGGGCCGCCAGTTCCGTGTGGGCGAGCAGCTCGCTCTGGCCAAGCATCTGAGCACTTTCTGTCCGCTGGTGGGCAAGGCCTTGGAGAACGAAGACGATCGCAAGCTGCGCCTAATCCTAAGCAAGGCGCAGCATCATCAGCGCCAGCTGCAGGAAGAGATCATGGACAATCATGCGAATAGCTCGGCCAACACTTCACCCTCATCCCATCGCCGGAAGCCCACGAGTCGCATACAGTCACCCAGATGTATGTGTAGTTGTATCCTGTGTTGGAGATTTGCTAATTTCATGCTTGATTTTTGCAGTCTCCCGCTTGAGTGGCCGCCAGGGCTCGCCCGAGTCCATGGTTAACAGCTATCATGGCAACAGCAGCAGCAATAGCAGCATCAACGATAATGGTTCCCTCAATCATTCGCTGCAGATGAGCATTTCGCTAATCGAGAACATCAAGAACGATGGCGACTTCCAGCTGGCCGGCAGCGGTATGTCCAGCAGCGTGACCACCAAGACCTACAACTCAACGGAATCAACGCCTCGCAATATAACGCCAAATCCCTATAATGGTACGGTATTCCTTACATTTATTTTATCCATATCGAATCATACATATATCAAATTCTCTCTCCTCAAAACAGATCAAACATTCCTCAGTCAGCCGCCTGCGGGTGGTCCCTTGGCTGCTGCCTCGAAAATGGTGCCCGTGCCGGAGACTCTGATGAGTCCCGATGTCTGTCCCGCCGCCGTTGCCCAACGGGTGACGGTCAGTGCTCTCAACTCGCAGTTGCACAAAACGAAAATCAACAAAAACAAAGGTGGCCAGCCAAGCATAACTAGTTTCTGTAGTAACACGGCATTTAAGTACACTTTTGATTTTATTCCCTGAACAGACAACAAACTGAATTTGCCCCGCGTGCGTAGTCCCCTGCTGAAGCGCACCCAGAGTCCCACCAGCAGTCCACGAAAGGTGGCCCCTAGAACAACAGACAGAGTGCAGCAGCAGATGACTTCGACGACGACGACGGCGGTGGATTCGGGAGGTTGCAGTACGGATGATGATGGCGAGCAGATGAACATCGACAAGTTGAGGACCATTAGGAAGATGGCTGCGCAGAGGAATCAGCAGCAGCAGCAACAACAACAGCAGCAGCTGGTGGACAACAGCAGTCAGAACTGTGCGGATCGGTTGATAGAGCACATGACGGAGTCATCGGCGGTTATCATACAGAAAATGTGGCGTGGCTATTATACCCGTAAGAAACACAATCCCGATATTGCAGAGAAGCTACAGAGACGCCGCGTGCAGGAGTACATTGAGTGAGTCCCTGGAATGGCAGAATCTTTCCTTGAGACAATAGATAATTCTTGTTTTCGTATCCCCAGGCAACTCAGCAAAGACATGCGGCTGACCAAGGCGCAGCTGGAGAACGAGCGCAAGATCCAACAGCTGCAAATGCAGGCCATCAATGCGCTGTGGAAGAAGGTGTCCACCATGCATGTGGTGGATCCTAAGGCAGCAGGACAAGTCGCCGCAGTTTCGGGCGAGGATTCCAGTGCCCCCGTGAGTCTTGATCATAACTCGGCCTCTGTGGTCAACGATCTGGCCAAGCGCTGTACCATGCTGACGGACCAGGTGCAGCAGCTGCGCAGCTCGATCGGAACGATTGTCAACTGCCTGACGATGGTGTGTAATCTGCCACAGTATGCTCTCATTAGCAATCCCGAACCTGATGCCCAGGTGCCCGTGTCGGAGCAGCGCGACTGTAGCTCCACGCAAACCGATCTGATTGCCGTACACACGCCACAGATGGAGGACCTAACGAACTTTCCGTTCACCAAACCGCGACCGTCTACCTTGGCGTTGGAGTCCAAGATCGAGGCGTTGCCTTTCAAGCAGCTGGAGCCGGACGATGGCGAGCAAAAGGAGCATGATGAATCGGTGGAGGCGAATGCATAAACACCTGCATCAAAGCGAGCTGCATCTTCAGGAAAAGGAAATCAAATCCCAGTGAATAAAACGCTTTAAGAATCGATCTCAACGCGCATTAATTAATCGCCTCTGCTTTTATGTAGCTTTTGCAACAATTTTCAATTCAGTTAAAACACTTTGTTTAGCAGCAGCCACAAGAACAACACTTAATTCATAGTGACCATCTATTTTTTGCTACATTTTGAAAGATGGGCAGAAAGTAAGAAAAAGAATAAGAGAAATATACAAAGCTAAAATTTTGTAATGCACTTCCACAATGCACTCATGAACTCGTGTCAGTCTTCCTCATCGCTGCTCTCCGTATCAGTGTCCTCGTCCTCTTCATCGGATTCCTGTACGGGACGATTCGTGTTGGGCGTTAGATCATCTTCAAAGTCGGAGTCCTCATCATCGTTCTGTGCTTTGGCGTCCTGCGGCGGATTCTTGGCAAATCGTTCCGGCCATATGCCTGCCTTGGTGTACTCCTTGACATGGTCGTTGGTGAGGATTTTGGATATTTCCGCCTTGACTTTGTCGCCCTCCTCGATGGGTTCCACCAAAAGGAAGTCACCGCGCTTGACCCACATGTTCTTGCGATATTTGTTGGGCATGGACACTGGATTAGAGTTACGTATGGGTGTACGTTAGTCGTGGTTTCTCTAGATGATCATCCCAGTTCTCACCCAGAAAGTTCTCCGACTCTGGCGTCGCAGTTTCCACCTCGTGGAGATTGTTCCCGCAGCTTCTGACGACGCGCACGATCTGCTGCTGCTCTGTCGGAAGTTCATAGTCATCCTCCATCATTTCCTTAATCAAATGCTTCCGTCGCGTGGTACTCGGATGTGAACGATGCATAGTTGCAGAAAAATGAAAACAAAAATTGATTTTAAATTTTGTTTGTATACAGTAGGGATTAGTGTCTGTGGGTTAACCCATTTAAAACCACGATTGAAAAACTTCTATTGAAACAGGTGAACAACTTGAGTTAAACCACGGAAAATAAATATATTTTAAATTCTCCTTATAAATCCTTCCTATCCTTTCTCTTTAATCACAAAATTAAAAAACAAAAACTAAAGTTTCATGATTTTCTTTGGTAGTGTTAACAGAGGGTTAATCGTTCATTTTGGTTTTTGTACACAATGGGGATGACATATCATAATACTTCTCTTTCTACTTATCGATGTGTATCGATAGTTTTGTGCGATAGACGGAACGAATTCGGCGGTAGTGACAGACCCAATTATAAAATCAGGTAGGCGATGCTTTTCGTGCAAAATACGTAAAATATCACAAAAAAATAGGATTCACACGAAAACAGATCTGCTTATTGTTGTTAGAAATCCATCAGTACAAGGTTTGTCCTTTAAAAATATCAATTACCATGCTATTCCATTCATACATTTTCGAATTTCGTTTAGAAAAGATGGACAAGACTCGTGAAGGTTGGCGAGCCATGCTGGCGTGTGTGAGGGAGAATCATGAAAATACGGACATTGAGATCAATCGTGAAGGGACTACAGTGCGCCAAGCCGCTACCCTATGGCGGGCCCAAAGAAATTCGGATCTGGGTTGCTTGCTCTCTCTTGGGATGCGTACTCTCGCTGAACAGGAAGCACAGGGCCAAGAGCAACCACAGGCCCAGGAGGAACCACAAGACCAAGAGCAACCACAGGGCCAGGAGGAACCACAGGGCCAGGAGGAACCACAAGGCCAAGAGCAACCACAGGGCCAGGAGGAATCACAGGGCCAATAGGAAAATGAACCTAGACAAAAACTGCCCTCTTATCCCTTATTAAAGCATTGCTCTTCTTTTTTATGTATTTCGAATGCCAAGAAAATCTAATTTGTATAGGACATTTCGTTACACATCTCCCTCAATTTTACAATTTATAAAGAACATTTTTTTATAGAAAACATATGGAAATTGAGATCTTCAAAAATGTAACAGCACGTCCATAGGTGTCCAACCGATAGGCAGAGATAAAAAGGGCTGCCAGAGATCTCATATTCAGTGCTGTAAAAGTTCAACATTTGGCGGCTTATTTGAATTCAAATTGAAAAAAACGTTGAACGAGTGCTTTTGTATAATTTATCTTTAGTTTAGTTTAATATTAAAATATAACTTTACAATTAGTGAAGAATGTTGCCATTAAACGAGAACTTTGCTTAGCAATAGTATCTGAAGCGTAGCTAAAACTAGTTTTTGCTGCGTCGCATCACCATTCGCTCCTTGAGCGATAGCCGACCGGACTTTTCCACCTTCGTGGAGACATTGCGACGCGACTCGACCTGCACCTGCTTGGATTTCTTTTTCCTGCAAATTAAGCAATATGTTAGATAATCGTCCTGTCAGTGCCAGTGGGGAGCACCCCAATGATATTCCCTTACAATTCATTTATAAGATTCTCGATTTCCTTGCGCCAAATGTCCTTAAAGTCGTTTGTGAAAAGTGTCCAGCACTCGAAGAACTGGTCGGGCGTGCAATCTTCCAAGGTTTGAGTCTCCGGCGAGTAATGATAGAAGCGCATTGTCTCCAAAAACAGTTCCCGGCCATCGTTCAGCATGCGATCCAACTTGGCCATCGACATGTCGGCACTCTCCGTGAATTCCTCCATTTTGGACTTGAAGGGCTCCACAATGTCTTCACTGGAGGCAGCCAGTACCTTGGCCTTGGTCCTCTTGAAAACTAAACCAAAGGATACGCCGATTAATGCAAGAGAACAAGCCATGCGATTCCCAGCGGATCTTACCCAAAAACTTCTTTTTCAGCTCGTTGATATGCATCTCCACATCTTCAAACTTGATCTGTGCCGCACGCTCCACATCCGCTGGCTCGGGTATGGGTAGACGAATTTCCAGGGGATGGACACCCTCCTTCCGCCGCTGGGCAATGTAGGTGCGCACTATGAAGTGCAGGAGTGTGGTATGTCGCTCCTTGGACTTGACGTCCTTCAGTTTCCCGAGTATATCCAGATTGAAGCCGTCCGCCTGGCCGCGCTGCCGATTGCCCCCGTTCATGTAGTTGCCCAGCGTCAGGATAATGGAGAATACCAGCTTGAGGTCCTCGCTGTCGATCAGCTGCTGCGACAGCTGCTGGATGGTCTCCAGCTTGCGCATCTGCTGCGTCAGCGACTCCTCGAACTCGGCCTGGAAGATAATGCACGAGATCCGCTCGCTGGCCATCGAGATGAGAGATATGTCCAGCAGGAACTGCTCGGGTGTATCCAGAGGTATTTCCCCGCCAGCCGCATCCTTGATCTTGAACAGCTCCTCGTCGCTGGCCTTAATGTGGCTCAGGTGCTGCAACGCCTCGAGGCTCACCACCGATGTGTCCAGGTTGTAGATGGCATGCTCGATCTCGCTGGAGGGCACGTGCAGGCTGCGTGAGATGATCCCCACCTTCCTGGAGCGCTCCGGCTCCAGCACCTTGATGGACTTGGCTCGCTTCATCTTCACCTCCTTGGGCTTGTTCACCGGCACAACGGCCTGTCGCGAGAAGAGCTCGGTGAACTCCTCAATGTTGTCCAGCGGCGTCTCCTCAATCTCTGTCCAAATCTCCTTTATGGGCGGCGGGTGCTGAGGCACAACTGGGGCTGCTGCTGCATTGTCGCCGCTACGTGGCGTTGATGCCCCACTGCTGGCGCTCGTCGAGGGCAGTTCATCCGGGGAGCTGCCGCTGTTCTCCACATTGTCCACATTGTCCGCACTGTCCGTGGAGTTGGCCACCGAGGAGGGACGCGGCACTGGCGGCAGTGATATTGTCACAATCCGCGTCCAATACAGGGGACGCATGGGCTTTGGCGGGTTAACTGCACTTTTCCGGAGCGCTGCAGGAAAACAAAGAGGGAAATGCATGAATTTTCCAATGGAAAATGGAACTCATGAGCGGATTTACTCACTGTTTGTGCGATGAAACCAATTTCCCTCGGAGGGATCGGGCAGCGGTGCGGGTGAGATCATAGACGGGGGCGGTGGAGGCGGGCCTCCACCACTTCCCGGTGGCGGGGGAGGTCCTCCAAATCCTGGCGGAGGCGGGGGCGGCGGTGCACCACTGCCAGGCATGGGCGGCGGCGGGGGTGGAGGTGCACCACTTCCAGGCATGGGTGGCGGCGGCGGCGGTGGTGGGGCAGCCGGCGGAGGCGGAGCACCAGCAAAAGGAGGCGGCGGAGGAGGTGGAGGAGGGGGCGGCGGAATAACAAGCGCTGGTGCTGGCGGTGGGGCAGGCGTCCCAGCCGATTCGGCACTTTGCTCTCCGGCCTCTTCGCCGCCCTTCAAGGATGCTCCACCACAGCGACAGGAGCCTTGGCAGTCGCCCTCCGTCTGCGTCTCGCCATCGGCATAGCTCCTGCCCTCCTGCGGCTTGTTGTACTCGTAAATGGTCGACTCGCTGGCGTTGAGCAGCTCCGTGAGATTGGTACACCTCCTGGAGGGACGGCGGGGCGGCTCATCCACGCTGCTGAGCAGCTCGTTGACCACCGCATGCACCTCGGCCAGCGTGGAGCAGTTGAGGAGTCGCTTCTTGAGGATCTGCTGCAGTGTCTTCTGGTTGTCGGTGACAGTGGGTGTTGTCGCAGCCGCTGCCCCTGCCGCTCCTCCAGCTCCAGCTGCAGCTGCAGCTCCTCCAGCCACTGCGGCTGTCGCTGTTGCCAACGATGACGCCTCCAAGGTCCTGATGCCCGCCGGTGTGCTTGAGAATGGCCAGGAGGCCACCTTGTCTAGTTTGCCGGGTGTGAGCGGCAGCGATGTCGTCGGTTGCTCCGTGTGTGTCCACTGGTACATCTCGTACGGCTGCAGGGGAAGGAGGAGCATTGGGTTAGATAAACTTGTATTAACCCATTGACTTCTAATTGTCAAGTCGAGTCGAGTCGAGTGCTGCAGTGCTGCAGTGCTTCCTTCCAAGTGGGTCTCGAGTGTGCCACAAGCGACAAAGCTTAAAAGCTCCCCCGATTGGCCCCATGCCCCCTTTCCCCCTACTCTGAATGCAAAAACTCCCTCTCTCTCTCTCTCTCTGGATTGTGCATGTCGCCGTCGACTCGACTTGGCTTTGGCTCCCGCAACGGGAATTGTCTTACTTTTGTTGCCGTTTTCTTCTTTTGTCAGGCCATTAAGGGAGGTGGGGGGGCAGGGAGCAGAGGTGCATATATGCAGATGAGGTGGTAACTGCCGAGTATCGAGTTTTTTTCTTAAAGACAGCTTGAAGATCTACCGCGTGAAATATTGCTTTTCAAACACTCAATGGCGCCCATTTAGGACTTTTACGATTATAATATGAATGTAGTTCTTGGAATATTGTGCTTCGAACGCAGAAGATCGTAAAATGTGGCCCCTTGAATATCCTGTGTACCAAATGGATGGCTTTGTGACCAAAAATATGGGACATATAAAGCAAATGCTCGATGAATTTGCTTATGTTTTTGGCCGTAGAAAAGTAAGACTTTTCTGCGCCTTGTGGAAGACGGTGTATATTGTTGTTGGATTCTGGGGACCGACTCAGCTGCCGAAAGCATTGCTGAAGCCCAAGCGAAGTCACGAACCCTGCGTGCCTGTTCCAAGAAGCAAACGAACGAAAATTTAAATGGAATTTGTTCCATATGGTATATAGTCTTTGATATGGCTCATTGTGTATAGAATCGAACAGGTACTCTGAAGAGGTACTCATTTATACTAAAAATAACTATATATTTATTGAACATCCTCTAACCGAAAAGGCACTGAGAGATCTCCAAAAATGGCTCTGAATATCCCAAGTATTCCATCTTTCATACACCCCATAGTACTTCCTGAACCCATCTGCTTTGCCACAGTAAAACTTTCTCTATGCACCCCATATGTGGGTGTCTATCGTAGGGTTTTTGTGTTGTCTTTGGATCCATTAGATATGCGCTTGAATAGTCAGCTTGGGTTGCTTCTTGGCTTCTTTAGAGTACGAAAACAACATGCAAATTGTGTAAACTGCGATAAACCCCGACTCCCACACAATAGGAAGAGACATACCCGTGGGGTGTACGAAGTCCCATCGAATAAGGCGTCAGGCATCAAAGCAAGCTGTTGCACTTGATTTGCATTTGTCAGATGCTCAGATTCTTTGACTGATTAGGGTCGTACCATGTGTATCTACGAGTGTGAGTCTGTATCTATGTGTGTGTTCGTTCTGCATGTATGTGTATCTATGTGCTGCAGGCACAGACAACTGCAGTGTGGGACGCCACTTGTTGGAGGCATAATTAAATTTCAATTACAATTTTAATTGCATTTGTCAGATTTTGTTTTGAGGGCAGTTTGGTGGGGGGGCCATGGGCAACAGTCTGATGTTGCGGCAAAAACGTGTTTTTATGATTTAAATAGTTTTTAATTAGCAAAATGTTAATTAAAACAATTTGCCAAGCATCATTTTATATTGTTTTAAATATGTTGTTTAATAAATAATCATACAAAATGCTAAAGGAAACCTTTTGAAAGCGCTGCCTGGTACCCCCTGCTTGGAGCTGAATTTTGATAAAGAAAATGGGGATTTTATTTAGTTTTTGAAGAAAACGATGACTATTCTTAGTTTTCAGTGTTATTTTTTCATAGAAATAATTTTTAAACATTTTATAATTGTTTAAAAAACGGAAAAATGATTTTTTTCTGTAATAAATTATATTTCAATATAATTTCCTTGGAAATTAATTATCTTTGAGTGAAACCTCTGGCAGTCATTAAATTAAACATGTATTGAGGTCTCAGCCGTTCTATTAATAGCACGATGACACTGGAATCGCTTCAATCTAATCCCCCATCAACCCCTTGATCCCACCTCCCCTCCAGAAAGACAGACCCCGGCACGACATTGCATTCAAATCCATGGAAATCATTCCATGGCATTAAAGTTTCGAAACCCAAAAGAATATTTTGGAGGGGCACGAAAAACAACAACTTTCGACTGAAAGTAATAAAAACGCACAAAACTTTCAATGAGCCAAGAAGGCGCAGTCCCTGCTGCCACAAAAAAAAAAAGATGGGGAACGATGTAGGGACAAGGGAATCCCCGATAGAAAAGGCAAAAGAAAAGTCGAACGGCGAACAGCGAACAACGAACCTTTGGCATCCCCCTCTTGGCATATGCTGGCCTGTTGCCCAAAAAGTTGATGATGCGCACATCGGTGGGGAGGCATTTGGAGACACCGCCCCTACCCCTGCCCACCACCTCCTGCCCCTGCTTAAGGACTGTCCCTCGGTTCTTGGCAGCCAGTTGAAGAAATTTGTGATATCATAATCTTGAGCACAAGTATCATCACATAGAAAATCACTTAACGGTGTTGTCTGTGCGACTGGCGGTGCTCCCCTCCCCTCCCCCACCACTGCCCTTTCGTCTTGGCTCCTGGCTCCTGGCTCGTGGGATTTGAGGTTAAGCTGCTGTGGCTAAAACTTTTGGCCTAAACTAATTTGGGGGCTATACTCGTATCTAGTGCTTCATTATTTGTGGTTGTTCTTGTTGCTTGTTGTTTCTGTTTCTGTTGCCCCATGCTGTCGCCTGTCAAATAACACTTAACTGGAGACGGACTGTGGGGTTTTACAGGCGGTAGAAATACGAAATGGAACCAGTTAACAGGCCTTCCTTCTACCAGCCTCCACTCCACTCCCCGCCCCGATCTCTGCCTCTGAGCAATTAAAGCTTTTTCCCTTTTCGCCAACTGTTTGTTTATTTAGCTGTTTGGTCGGTCAAGAGGCTAGATGCTTTGGCTAAACTGTACCTAAATATGGTCAACTATTATGGAGTCCATTAGGCACAGCACAGCGGCTGAAGATGGTTACGAAAGAGTTGCACCCAGATGGTGGCAGGGCAGAGTGTTGGAGTGGGAGGCGAGGAGCTACACTGAGCGAAAAAAGGGACATTAACGGATTGAATTGGTGGCTTTTGTTGGGCCCAAAGGCTGTTCTAAATCTCACGGAAGTATGAAGTTATGGAAGTTACAGAAATATGTACATTTTAAGGCATATTTGAGCAGATTTTCATCGGAAAACTATCCATATTTAAGCAAAAAAGGAACCCAAACTAATTTAAAACAACTTTAAATGAAAATAAATAAGGAACTGGCATGGTAATATTCATAAGAAACGTTTCAATGGAAATATTTAAGATATTAATGCTTCGGATATTCCTAGAACGTTCACAGATTCTTGGCACATTTCAAGATTTTTTCAAATTAGTAAAACAGGAAAATAAGGGGATCCAAAATGTATAAAAGAGATTTTGTTAAGACCTTGGAACATCTCATAGTTGAAGATGGTGCTGGCCTCCAAGAGAATCCCACAGGAACTACTGCCCTAGGCGAAAAAAGTCCCGATTCTGGGGGACTTTAAAATCTCTGAAGCACTGCCTCGACGGTTCTCACCCCCTAACCGGATCCGTGGCCCCGCTGAAGCCCGTCCGGATTAACCTAACCTTTTAAACAGGACCATTTCTTAACTAGAATTTTTTGTATGATTTTTTTGTTGGCCTAAAGTTTGAAGACCTGTCTAAAAAAAAGCCAATGCCTTAAGATATCTTAGATAATTCTTTAACAATCAAATTAAATAAATTCCCTACTCTCTTATGGAAATTTTCCTACAATCCTAGAGGACAACCATGTATGTTTGAAAGTTCAAAGCCTTCCCATGCACCTTTCCCTGTTGCTGGTTCGCCCGACGATTGTTCCCAGTGTAGTGGCAGCGTCAAACTTTGGTTTCATAATTTTGCATGCAGCGAAACAAGAAGTGGGAAAAAAAACAACAACAACTGCATCGAGAAATTGTTAATGCAGAGAGCCAGAACCCAGAGACCCAGAGAGCCAGAAGCCAGAGACCCAGAGTGAGTTTTGGCTTTTGATAGTTGACGTCTGCCGACTGTAAAGTTTTAACAAGTTCTGACACTTGCAGGCGAGAACAGGGACGGGGGTCCGGGAGTGCGGACCCCAAAGAGGGGTCAATTGGGGCGGCCAAAGGGTTAGATGGACAACCGCTGGAGTCCGGGCTAAATGCAAGTGCAACCAAAGCCCGAGTCCTGGTTTGTCTTTCATTTTGTCTTCTTCTTGGTTTTTTTTGCAATGGAATTGCTAATTTCCGGGCACAACTTTGCGGTGCACAACTTTTGCCGCCATTCGCCAGCGACTCCTTTTCGACGGAGGATGACGCGGCGTATGAGTAACATTACGGAGACGCAGGACGACGCATAAGTTGGCCTGACAGTTGGCCTCCTCGGGGGCGTACACAGAGAGGGAGAGAGACAGAGAGTGCCCATTATCAATGGGTTTTTGCCTTCAAACGCTAATGACTTGAAACTTAGTTTAGTTTTGTGGACCGGACCGGACCGGACTGGACCGGAGTGGACAGGCTTCCTGTCCCCCCGCTGTCCAGCCAAACGCGGACTCTCATCATTTCCGCCAGCGACGTGGCAACATCCGACGCAGATGACCAATTTCCTGGCCTGGCCATAAAGGCCATTGAACTTACACTGAAGCCCGCCGTGGAGTGGCCGTCCAGCTGGCCGTCATTGGAGATCTGCTTGAGGACGCCGACGTATTTGAGATTATTGCAGAATTGCAGGGCCATCGCATTGAATTGTTCCTGCAGCTCCAAGGAAGCCGTCGTCTTGGGGTTGCCCTGCAGCGTGGATATCAGCCATTTCATCAGCATTTGACCTGCAAAAATTATGGATACGGAATTAATGAAATCTGATCCACAGCTGGCCATAAAAAGGAGGAGGAAAACTTCGACCCACTAAGATTTATGGTTGAGAGACGCTGGAACTCCCAAGGAAAAAAAAAGTTTGGCATAAATAAATTTCTAGGCGAATATTCGGAATAGATTTTGGGGCTGTTGGAAGATACTCTAACATGTCTTTTCCCTATATCAATAGTTCGATATCTACCAAGGGTTTGTAGGGTTTATTTAAGGGCATATCTAGTATTGTTTTTGGTAGTCTTTTAATAACAGTCGACTTTCTGGTCTATAAAGACTTATAAAGGCATGACTAATGCCCCGCCGATAAGATAGAAAAAGTGAAATTAAGGAAAGTCAATCAAAGTATAAATAAATATGAAATCAAAGGCAAATAAAAGCCAAATACTTCCCAAGGAAGAGACAATGAGGTCTGGGAGCAAAACCTTTCCCATCACCAATCGACTCTTCTGAGGGAAATTCAAACCCAAAACAAACTTTTTGTGGGTGAAAAACTTACGCTTGCTGTCAGCGTGTGAGTGGGAGACGGCTCGCAGCTGCGGGTCAGGCGGGTCGGGCAGGTCCACGCTAATGCGGACAATGCGTAGGCTAATGCTGGTCGAGGAGGCAACATCAGGTGGCAGCCACTTTGGTCGAGAGCTACGTGAACTCTGAGCCTGTTCGGCGGCCAATGACATTAGCTGGAGTTCCCGAGGAGACGAATGGAAGTTCTCCAACTCCTCGATGGCCGGACTTTCGACATCCACATCCCAGTTTGCTTGCTTTTGGGCCAGCAGTGAGCACCAGACGTTGCTCAATGCCCTGGACATGGGGCCGCAACAAAATTAGAACCTTCTCAGACTAAATCCAGCACTAGACTGTTTTGAAGGGGGGAAACACACAGAGCTTCGATCGAATTGAAATGTGTCAAAACTTATCAGTATTATCAATGCTAACACGACAACTGCGACACTACTATGTACGATGTTCAGGTTCATTGATAGCCCAGTGCATTCGCAGTCGAAGGAGGTAGAAATAGAACTCTATTCTCTGTATATTCTCGGAGAGGCACAATTTCCCTGGCAAGGTCGATTTCTTTATCAGTCACGGTTGCTGTTGGCTGTCTCTAGGGTTTTTTTTTTTGTATTGATTCCACTGAATCATTTCTATAAATTCGAGTATGCTTAATCAACTCTAAAACAGAATTAGAAACCATATTTCAAGTGCGTCATAGCCGATACGTCACCGGGCCTCCCGTTCAATCGATATTCGCGCTTTCTTTATGCCAACAACTTTGTTTTGGGCTTTCTTTTAATAGCTCTCTTTCTCTATCTCTCCCTCCTCCACAAGATAGCACGATCATGTCTTGGATGATAGCTGAAATCGATTGATACTCGTCCAATCTAAAGACGCTATAAAGACTGATTGGCGACAATCAGTAAAGGAAATCTTTATGGCTGCCTTGGCAAGTGGGTTGTTACTTGAAGTGAGCTTTTCATACACCGAAATAGATGGTAAGTGGAGTTCTACAATCTCTCAGATACAATCTATACTGATCTGTCTACGCTCTAATCAATAATCATCGAATCTTTTCACTAAATAGAGATATATTTACTCAGTATACTTCTATATCTATATCTAATACTGCTACTAATACGATGTGCCTATGATTTCTGCCACTTGCTGCAGGCAGGGGAAGACGCACAGTCGAGAGAAGATCATTTGCTTCGATTGTAAGCCAATTTTCCTGCCACATAACCCTGGTTACGATAGCTACTAATCGTACGATTAGACCTAAGGTTATAGAGGACCAAAAGGCGCCCAGATTTGGAGAGGAAATGCACTGCAACAGGCAGCAGGATTTATATATAATGTATCTATATCAGAGCGTATCTGTAGACCTAAATACTATACATACTATACATTTGATTACTAAATAAAACCAATACTCATCGAACTTCAGTAGCTGAAAAGTTGTTTGATGGAAAAGAAATCCTTCCTCCAGTATATAATATAATAGCTCGAGTGGATATCTCGCCTTGCAATCGGCCCAAGGATTGAGCATTCTAAAGGCCTGTAGGCCTAAAGAAGCCACCGTCCTAGTGCGACTTACGAGGCGAAACCCCGAATAGGCCCACTGTTCGAAAAGCTGATCAGTGAATGGCTTTGTTGTGCCTCGAGAATGATTCGAATTGACTCCAAAAAGAAACCAAATGGGATTCCAAATGTAAACCAACTCAAATGCAATTGCCTTTCAGCACTTGTAGTTCCATAACTAACCATTTCCCCAACTCCACCAAACCTATTTGGTATCTTCGCACTAAAGTCTCATCAGCAAAGCAAACAGCGATTGGGCTCACAAGATCATTAGCCCAAAAGGTTGATGCCAAGGATTGTGGCCCATTCCCATTGCCACCATCCCATTCCCATCCCATTAGCTACCCGTATTGAGGAGGAGCAGGATGATGATTAGGCTGATGATGGCTAAGCGTCGGGCACCAAAGGATGCGCCTTGGGCTTAGAGGATGGCCAGCGTTAGAGCCTCATCATCGCCCATCGTCATTGTGGTAGTAGTTTTTGTTTTTTTCGGTGTTGTTTCTGTAGTTCTTCCCATTGTTGTAGGCGTTCATCCTGTTGCTGGTGTTGTTGTTGGTTCCGTGTTATTGCCGGCGCGCCGGTCGCGGCATTGTGGCACAAACCGGTTTTGATGAAAACTGCGCCACGGACGCACAACAAATTTGCATAACTGCTTGCCTGGCACTGCACCACCCCACAACACACCACCCCACACCACAGCACACCATGCCGCGTGCCACACAAGGGGGAGATATAGAGATGGGGGTGGTGCAGCGGCTTTTGGCGCCTCACGCATGCATGCGTTGCATTCATCAACGGCAGAGACTCCTCTACAGCCACTCCCCGCTCTCCCCCCGGCACTCCCTGTTGCACTTTCTGGACGATTCTGACAAACAAAACGGATGAAAATGAAACGATGCCGGGGAAAACCACAAAGCAGAACGCAGAAATGAAGCAATGAGGGGAGACACCAGTGGCAAGAGCCTCTGGTAGAGGCAGAGAGCCAGCGCCGAGAAATAGAGGAAGCTACTTCGCTTACACGGAGGGAAAAAGCGTGTCGGTCAGGGCCGAAACTCTCGCTCTCCTCCGCCAGAGCGCGCACATTGCACGACGAAGAGATTAAGCGAGTGTTAAGGAGTTGCGTGGCCACGGCATTGGTTACCCTTCTGCCTATAATGATCCAATCTCAATCAGATTAGGCCATCTGGTAGATATGGTCTACCATATTTGAAACACACAGGAGTCTGGATACTGAAGGGACCGAAGGATAAAGGGACACACAGACAGAAACACGCTTCTTTCTGGGTGTTACCCTTCGAGTATCGGGTATAAGAAATCATGTACCATAGAAATATATGGCCTTTGCCCTAATTATTACTTATATTGTCTTTGGTTTATGGGTTAGGAGATGGCTGGGTGTTTCACATTCTTTCTTGCGGTTTGCTTCACATAACACCTCAAATGAGCATCTAAATTATCATTTTGTATCCCTCCTTAAACATAAAGCATTCAACATTCCCAAAGACTACGTCAACTCCTTCCTGGACAACCTTTTCCCTCAGTGTATAGTAGTTTTCTCTCACACCAAAAAAAAAATATTGTTTCATTACGCTTTGGCCAAAACATTGTTGCCCGTCTCTATACTTGGAGTCAGAGGCAGAGACCTCTCCTTGAAGTTGACTCTGGCACCGAGGCATCAGGGTGCTCATCCTCCCGGATCCCGAATCCCGAATCCCGGAATCTCTTCATCCCGACAACAAGCTGCTGGGGTACGTGATGTTGTCGAGCATATAAATCAGATTTTTGGATCCCAAAAACGTTCCGCTACACGCCGGACGTTGGCTGTCCGTCCTGTCTGATGAAAAGTCGCGACAAAAGCTTCTGTTGCCGCTCTGCTCTGCCCACCACGGGGCGGACTGGTCCTCGGGTAAGCCACGAAGAATTGATGGCCACTTCAGAGACAATGACGATGGCGACGACAAACGCGACAGGCGACATGCGACAGGGATACAAGCAGCGACTGCTGCGGATGGACCCTGTCCAGAGCCAGCAAATTGCGTGTCCGGCGATATCTAGAGGCGCCTGCTGCCTGCCTCTTCTCCTCTGATGTTTGTCCAGCGAGGCGTTAAAATGTTTGTTTGCATTAATTTGCAGCAGACGGCGACGATGATGATGACGAGGAGGATCAGCAGCCAGTGGTAGAGCCCTAGAAGCCCCCACAACGATGAGCTTACCAATTAGCGCCACCATTTTCCACTACCACCGCCATTCGTTCTCCTCCTTTGGCTGGCTGGAGGCGTGGCATGTGTCAAAAACTGCGCCTCCCAAAAAACTTGAAAGCCAACAAAATTTTCGCGCTGCGTTTTAAGCGAAAGTTTTCCACTTGCTAACGGGGGAGATTTTAATACGAACTAAGGGGAAACAAGGGTATGCTCGGATTCGTATACGTACAGATGGGGACCATAAATATATAGCTTCAATGTGGTTCTACGAGTGTTTGATCTATCAGTATCTCAAAGACCTTTTTGGAATATACTTTCAAAAGCTGTGGAATCCACAATAATAAAGATATGTGTATAATATTTGGTGAATGTGTCTACAATGCTATTGTCTACTCAGCTCTCAAAAATAATCTTAATCGGAAATGATATTGCTCGAAAAAGTTGTGGCATCCACAATTTTAGACATATTTACATCAAATTTGGTAAACTCATCTACAATGTCATTATCTGGCTATGTAACAAAAATCATCTTAATCGAATAATGATAACCCTTGAACTTTTGAATTTTTATAAGGCCAGAGGTGGTATTCCTTAATTTCTGTGTTAGAATCCGTTCTCCGACAGCTTTCTACCTCCAAAAATGTAAGCTGGTCTTCAAATTTGCTCTATGTCCATATAAAAATATAATCTAATGTTCTAGAAACAAACAGCTCAATGGTACAATGATAAACCCCCCAAATTATTGCCTCGGCTCTTTCAAAAATAGTCCCCGACTTTAGCCTTTCATTGTCGAAACTAATAGGTATCCCCTAGTCGAACTATTTCTTGTCTAAAGCTCTCACAATTGTTGAAAATAGTTTGCCGTTCGACGGGGAATTTGTGTCTGGAATTTCGAGCACACGCAATAATGCGAGCGAGCAACGCATCGCACATCTGTATAGAGATATATATATCGCATAGTAGGAAGGTAGGGGGCGTGGCATGTGCTATGGAAATTCTTGGGTGTCTTGGGCGACTGAAAGTCTTAAAGTCTGAGAGCCTGAAAGTATGCCACTAATTTCGGGAATATGGTAGAGGTTCTTTCTGGTTTCTTAGTTGGAGAGAATGGGCGAGAGTTTTCGCGACTTCAAACACTTGCAAAATGTTAACCCAACAAAAGTTTTCCCTTTCCCATCCCCCCCTCCCCCCACCCAATATATATGCCAAATATTTACATACACAAATTTCCCCAATTATGCAATCATTCGACTTGATTTGGCTTCCCCCTTTCTTGAGTGATTTTGCGCTCCACGCTGAAAGTTGAATCAGGGGAAATTAATTGTTAACTTTAAGCAAACAACAAACGCAATCAAACGTGGGACGAACATAGCGAATGATTGGAGGGATTGCGGAGGATTGGAGCCGAGGGTTGGGGTTGGGGATGGGAAAATAAAATTAAATGTTTCCCAAGAAACGACACAAAAGGCAAACAGTTAGTGCGCAAAAATCGCTGTGTTACCTTTATATTTCTCCTTCAATGGGTCTGCGCTCTTGTGGGTCTCCGCCTGCCCCCTTCTATGGTACTGGGGGTCCGCCTTTGCTGCTGCTGATTTTGGCATCGCTTCACTGGAGTCGCAGATTGAAACATAAAGCGGAAACCCTACCTTCAGAGGCAACCACAATGGACGAATGCTCTTGCAGAGGGTACTACGAAATTATTGGGCGAGTGAGTTTTCTATTCCAGAAGATTTTATTGGGATCAAAGTGAGAGGGTAGTCTCAGAAGAGAGGTGTGTATTTCGACTACATGAAGAGGCCTTCCGAGAAAGATCTGTAAACAAAACACTCCCAACTTCCTAAGAAGCCCTTATAGTCGTATATATGACAGATTTCCTATCAAAGAACATACAAGGCATTCTCCACTAGGTCGTAGAACTTTATTAGCTAACCAATCACTTGTCCCCGTTTCCCTCTAATAGAAAGTAAGGAGAATTAAAATTATTTTCTATTAAGAATGTGCTCTTAAGGCTGCTCTTCAGTAAGCATCTGCAAAAGAATCTCCACTGTATTTCTGAATAATTTTGTCAGCAGTTCAATAGCTTTTAGTTAGACTATTATCAATATCGATAACATATCTCTAAATATCACAATTTAGTGCTGTTAAGCGCAAAATTTAGAGCACTGCGCGCTCAAGATCCTCTGTTATGTCAGCTGTTAGCACGAAAACGTAAAGTGTTGTTGGCTTGGCAAACTATTTTATATCCAACTTGAGTTTGGGTTAAACAAAATTATTTATAAAGAAGGCACAAGCCAAATTGCCCTGTTAAGGCTGTCAATTGTATGTTAATGGGTCAATAGGTCATCTATTTTTTCCTTTTGCAATAAGGATCTGTATTTTTGTCTAAAAGGACGCTTACTTTTCATTTCAAGGAGGAAAATGTTGCCGTTTTGAATACAGAAAAATCTAGCGCGAGCACCAAAGTAGAATATACTTGTAGTACTCTTATAGCACTTATATCTCCTCATCTTTGATTTGAAATACCGTCTGTCAGATTTAGATATGTAGGAAAAGTGTATTTCCATTCCTTTTTATCAGGTTTTCAGATTATTCTCTTAAAATTACCCCTAAAAATTCCAATTCACATTCAAATGTGAAATGTGATCCACCAAAAGACTCTTCATTCAACATTTTCAAGTCGTATCCCTGAATCTTATTCCAAAACTCCTTCCCCAAACCCCATGTCGATTCGTTTATGACCCACATTGCCCTCTTTTTTTTTGGAGTACGAAATGCAAACGAATATTTGGACAAACTTACCTTCGAACTTTTCATATGCAGCGAAGCTTAACTTTTCCGGTACATAAGATGAGCCGCGACGCGAACCAGTGCCTCCACCTGCCCCTGTGACGGCGGCACCTGCCAGCTCTGGCAGGGTTGCCAACAGCGACGATGTCGGCGTGGCCAAGAGCGTTGTCTCCGCCTCCATCAGTGGCAGCGTATTCGAGGAGCTATTGCCCGCCGCGGACTTCTCGACCGTGAAGCTGGCGACCTTCTTAAGCACATTGCTCGTGAGCAGCGGCGTTGTGGGCGTACCAAATCCAGGGGGCGGCGGCAGCGGCAGCGGCGGCAAGGGCAGGGCTGCCATGTCATCCTCCACATTGTCAGACGGAATCGGTGTAGCAGTCGCTGTCGGTGTTGGGGTCTGAATCGCAGTCGTCGTTTGAGACTGCACAGGTGTTTGAGATGATTTAAACGAAATTATAACAGTTGATTGCGTTTCCAGCGCGGATGACGGCGACGATGGTGTTGTTGCTGGGGCAGACGCCTGTGGAGCGGTGGAGGAGCCCGCTGTTTGAGCTGCTGATGCCACTGATGCTGTTGCTGATGCTGATGCTCCTGTGAATGAACGAATGAATGAATGACGAGGCAATGGCATTAGCAGGATAAATTTGTATAGAAATTCAGGCACATCCCTCCCCCAGGGTGCTCTCAAAGGAGGATCCTGTTTAAATGAGTGAAAAATTGAAGATAAATGTACGAGTATTCGCACTGCGTTTAGAAGTCACTTCACATAATTACTGCTTAAATTGTTGGGTTCTTCTGGGTGGCCAGCATTTGCCATCCATTTATCATTCGTGTTCTAAAATTGTTTGTGTTTTTTGGATTTGTTTCTATAGAGGTCTTTGAGGTACTTAAATGTCCCATTAGTTCCTGGAAAAATGTTGCTGATTGGGTGGGGAAATGGATACTTTTCTGTGTAAAAGGTTCTCAGAACTGGTGGGGTTTATGGTAGAGGTGTTTTCACTGTTTAAGGGGGGGATATCCCTTAAGATATGTATTTATTTTATGTATTCTAAGAATTGCAGAGGAATTTGTCTTCAGATACTCAAAGCAACATCATAAATACACCTTTAAATGGCTAGATGATGGTTCCACGAGCTCTATAAAAGTTCCCTCAAATCAAATCCAATCAAAACCCTTAAAACAAAGTTTTTACAATCATAAGAGTCAAAGAAGATCTTTAAGAACCCTTTCTAGGCACTAAAATCTATGGGTTCGTTCTCTAAGAAAGACTTTATCTGGATCCTAAAAGATCCTTAACGAGATTCCAGTAATAAATGTTAGAATCTTAATGCATACCCTTTTGTTCTAGATTTAAGCTATGAAAAGTATCTCTTAACGAATCTGCACAGTTAATAGATACATCTCAACATCTATAGGTATAACCAACTAGTTATATATCTGTCTATATATATATCCATCGATCTATCTATCATTCTGTCGTTCTATCTATCATCATTCCATCTTTCTATCCATCTATCTATCCCTCTATCTATCCATATAACAATCTACCAGGTATTCCTCTTTCTATCTATATATATTTCTCTCTCTATCTATGGGAATCATTTAATTGAAGGAAACTGTCTCCCCCTTGATAGAAGTAGATCAAATTAGGGAGAACTAATCGCACTCTAGATTATTAGTTCCTATACTCCAATATTAGTAAATATACCCAGAAAAATCTCGAATTATTTGCTCTTAAAACTAATATATTTCCATCAATTAAAATCCAAATTTTTTCTTTATCGAAAACAAAGTGGTACCCAAAAATGGGCAACTACTTTCCGAAATCTTTAAAGATCCCCTTGAATGGAATTTTCTAAGCTCAAAACTTCTTCAAGCAACTTCTCTCTCACTCTCTCCAGCGTAAAGCATTTTTTATAGCCCCATTCCGCCGTGCAATCTGTTTTGTATTCCTTCAGTCAATATTTAAATGATTTATACATTCATTAAATCGAAATTCATGTCAGAAAAAAACCCATAAAAAATTGCCTCTTGCAGACATATAATTTTTCTAGTGCATTAAATCTTCCATTATCCAACACCTCCTCCACCCCTCCACCAATCAGATTGTGTATTTTAAGGCGGATTCCTGATTTTAGGAAGCAAATTTTTATGGTCCTCCTGTCGCCTGCCTCCTGCCTCCTGGCGCCTCCAATCCCCCAGATCCCGCTCCGATTGAGTAGACCCTGTGGAGCGCTTATCGTGCGGCCCCCATCATCATTGACTGTGTACCCAAGTGGTTATGCCACCTCCTGCCGCCTGCCTCCTGCCGCCTGCCTCCTGCCGCCTGCCTCCTGCCACTTGCCCCCTCCGCCCGTCCCTTCGATTTGCGCGGAACACTCCCGCGTGTATCATTCTATATAACATGATTTAATTAAAATTTAAACTTTACTTTTCTCGTTTTTTTTTTCTCCCTTTTTCTCTTGTGTTTTTTATTTGTTGTTTTGTTCCCCCGTCGAGGAACAATGGGGAATACGACAGGAACAACAGGAAAACAGCAAAAACGATGGAAGTCCGAGGCCTGAAGCCTGAAGCGCCCGTTTCCCCTGCCTCTTGCCACTGCCGGTTTTCCTGCCCGTTTTCCTGCCTTTCCGGCCAACATTTTGTAAACAATGAAGACGTGTTTGCAATTTTTAAGTTTTCACAAATGTTTTGTTTATTTTTTGAAAGTATTTTGATACCGCGTATTGGCCGAATGGAAAAAAGTATCCTGTAACAGGAAGGAAGCAAACGAAGGGATTACGGAGCGTTTTCTGGAGGATTGTTTTGGATTGTTGTGGCCGTACATCAGGGCAGAAAAACACACTGATAGGTGCCAGAAAGCCCTGAAGAACTGGGATATGAAAGTGGGGTACAATAGTTCCTAGATGAGGTTCTAGAGCTCCAACCTAAGACGATTAAGAACCACTCCCAACTGAACACATAGTTCTATTTCCTTATAAGTGTATCTATTCAGCAGTAGAATGGCTTTTCTAGATCTTTTTCTTAACATTGTATTTTCTTCTTCTTTTATTTGTAGGAAACCCCAAGATTCTGGAGACTGTAATACTAGAGACAGAAACTGAGGATCCCGAGGCTTTATCGAGGCTTCCGTATACTTCTAGAAAGGCCGAAAAGCCTGACCTGTTTACCATTTAAGAGATACGGAGCTCAAACTGCATATGGTTTTATATAAAGCTATAATCTACCCAAATATCCAAATTTATTAAGATCAGACAACTATTACAGTCAGAATAAGGATAGGACATGCTGCTGCTACCTTTTTTCTCAAAGGAATTCGTTTTTCAACAGTGATATTTATCCTCATATCGTTTTTAAAGAGTTTTTATTGGTTGAAAGAATACCACTTAGAATATATATTATATAGTTAAATTTTTCTTACCATCTCTTTCCTTACAAGCCTTTTGAACGGTTGAAATACCAAATACCAAGTATCCCTTAGTCGTAATATCTTCCTACACTTTCTCTAAGTTGTATTTTTTTGCAGGGATCATTTTACTTCACTCTTTAGGGTATACCCCAAGCCAAAGGCAAAGCCAAAGCACGGTCCCTGGCCGGGCCCGGCCCAAGGCCCAAAAAAAACCAGCGAACCATGTTCGCATTTCGCTTTTGTTTATCGAATCGCAAGAGATGGTCCGCTCCACGGATTCGTGGGGCATCAACGCAATTAGGTAACTGTTTGGGGAGGCTGGGAGGGGTTGGAGGCGGTAACTGATAGAGAGGGGGTTGGGGCGGTGTGGATTGGGGGCCAATTATATATTTAAAATATCATGTGAAAGGAGACCCAGGGAACGAGTCCTTGCATAAATGTGCCAATAATTACTTTCGGGTCCGTCCTGCTGTTGTTTTCGTTTTCGTTTCTTTTTTTTTGCCACCCATCATTCAACATTTTTCACCATCCGCTGATCGGATCAGTTCGGAAAACAAAGAAAAGAGCTCTGGAGCGGTGGGGTTTTCGGGGCTGGGGGGAAAGGGGAGTACAGGGCGACTGTTGCTGCATGAGTTAATTAAAAAACTTTGCATTAAGGTTCTCTGCCTGGGCCCTTAACTTTTTCTGTCTCTTGTGTGTGTTTTTGGTAAAGGTTTTTCAGAGTTTTGCAAGGAAATTTCTCAAGTTTTTGAAGTTTTTATGGTGTTTTCGGGGAAATCATTAAAGAAATACAAATGGTTTGTGGATATATATTGCTTGTGGTCTATTGCTTTCGTCCGGCAGAAAGAAAACCCTTCGACTCATGAGAATCTTCGATTTTCTGGCAGAAATGGGTCTAAGGAATGGGCTCTAAAATCAGAATAAATATAATAATCCATCTCTTGTGATATTTTCATAAGAAATCTCTGCCCTTTTGTTTTGTTTATGCGATCTCTAAACAGTTATATGACTATAAATCGTTTCAAATTAAAAAACTAATGAAAAACCGATATTAATCGAAGACTTGGAACTATCAAATTGAGTATTTTTACCACTCTAGCATTACATGAGCAATTTTTATAATTTAAAAGGTTTTAATTGATTAATAATAATTAATTTTCGATCAAAAATCGATGTAAATGCAAGATTCATACAATAACGATATTTATCGTTACATTACACTGAATATATGTGAGAGTTTTTAGGTAGAATAAATCTAAACAACCCGGCAAGCTTTATTTGTTTAAATAATTTGTTCTCAAAGATTTATGAAACTTTTTAAATTACAAAAAATATCGATTAATTAGACAACTTAATAATTCGATAAACAGCTGACAATCAATCGATATTTTTACCTTCCAACTTCCCTATTTTCAAATAACGAATCAAAGATCTCCCAAGCCGGTGCTCTTCTTTAAAGTTTTTACCCCCCGCCCCCATTCCAGGGTTTTTCCTTTTGCAACTTGTTGGTGTGTTTTCCCAGGCACTTCAATTATGTGCCAACAGAAAAGAGACAGACAGACAGATAGATGGAGGGCTATGGCTAGAGGGAGAGAGCGAGAGGGCACCACTCCAGCCAACAGTTTGACAAGCACTCCAGGGCCAAGCCGTATTTACCTTTGAAATTGGCGCAAAGCAACAAGCGGCACGACAACAACAACAGCAAAAAAAAGGGACAGGACAAGCTTTTAGGACACGGTTTTTTGTCGGACTGAAGGACCACTCAGTAGAGCACACACACACACACACACACACACTGACACACAGACATGTGGCATATGGCTACAAGTGGGGGCACAACAAACAAGCAACGGCAGGGGCCACCAGCTTGAGTTCAATGGAGAAAAAAATCGCTCTTTAAGAGTCTCACCTGAATCCTGTGTGCCTCCTGCAGGAGGCGGCGGCGTTGGGTAAGCGGCGGCTGTGAAGCGCGATGATAGATTCTGGAGCTCCACCCTCTTCGACTTGGACACATTGAAGAGTTCCCCATTGCCCAAGGGGGAGTCCACTCGGGTGATTCCTGGCGTACCGCCCTCCGAAATGCCACCTGTTGGCGGCGGTGGCGGTGTGCCGGTGCTGCCCAGCACCTGGGCCAGCTTCTTGCCCAGCTGCAGGGCCATTAGTTCGTCGGGGGAACCCTCTGACACTACCAGCTCTTCGGATCCCGCTGGATTCCGCTCCTCCGCGTCCTCCAACTCCCTCCGATCATTGGCTATATAGTGGTACGATGTGGGCGAAAAGCTCAGGCATGCCAATTTGTCCGCTCGACAGCGTCGCTGGAGCTCAAGCACTGCCTTGGCCGTGCTCGGCGAGAGCGTGTCCACCGAGGTAACACTGATCTCGCTCAAGGGACGATCCCGTTTCGGCAGAACTGTTGCCTCCGATTTAGCTGCGCGTAGAGAATCCTTGGTCACAAGCAAAGCGTCGACCGGATCTGTGAATAGGGAATCATTGCTTGAGCATGAGGTGCACAACGATCTCTGATCATGGTCGAAGGGATGATGGCTGTGATGATTGTGTTGGTAATAGCGATGCTGGCTATGCAGATAGCATCGTGGATGGTGACGCTGCTGTTGCTCTTGATGCGTTAGCGTGTCGCTCGAGGCATAGCAGCAGGAATTGTCGCTCACGCAATTGTAGAACTCTAGAGAATCGGTATAGTCCAAACTGACCACGTCGTCTATGTGTGCGTCGATAGGGTACAGGGACAGACATACAAGATAGAGAGATTCAGTTGAATAGATAGAGGAAGTTGTACAGAAAAGTATATATCAGAGTTCAAGGCAACAGATTGCAGGAAAATCAAAAATTATACGAGTTGAGGGAAACAAAGGAGAAACTTTAGGAAAAGGTATACTTTCAAACAAAATATTGCAAAATTCTTTACTTAAGAAAAGACAGGCTAGAAAAAAACATAAAAATAATGGTAATTGAAGATTTTTACAATATTCCAGGGTATCCAAAATATAAATACTTTATTGTAAACCAACTAAAATTTGAATTAAATAACACGTCTATCAATTCTAGAGTTTAATCTAGTCTAGTAAAAGAAATTAGCTTAGTCAGGGCTGCTTTAATTCCAAAGGTTTATGGAGCAAAGTCTGTAGATAGTTGTCTTTTTTTATGGTAACTAATAATATGATATACTACCCGTAGGATTTTGGAAGCTTGTATACAATTATTCGTTTTTACTACGCAGGAATCTTGAACCGAATTGATATAACAATTTTGGGAACAAAGCTACAGATACTCCTACTAAAAGAACTATGAATTCCATCAAGTCTTACCCTCAAATATCGGAAAACAAATCTCAAGAGAAAGAAGTGTTACGTTTGGATAGTTTAGACGTATCTTAAGGTGTGTTCCGATGGAATTTATTACTACCTAAACATATTATGTACTTCTGAACGACAATTATTGAAGTTTTCCAAATAACAACAACAATAACTTATCTTTCCACCGCTCGATCGTATGGCAGCATATAATTGGATTTTAATGGATCCAAACTATAATAACTGACAATGCAATAGCACTTTAATGAGTAAAAACCCTGTATAGTTACACCATGTTTTAGAAAGCCATTGGGAAAGGCTCTACTCTACAGATATATCCATCATAGCCGGATGATCTAACTCCCCAAATATTTTCGAATTAATGAAAAAGTCTGCCAACTGTTCCTCCTTCCTCGCTTGATTTATGTTTATGTCCCATTGGAGGGGATTGATGGCTCATTCATAAAAAAAAAAACAAAGCGACATGAGTAGAAAATAATAATTAAACAAAAGTAAATACTCGTAAAAGAAGGCGCCACTGGAAGGCCAAAAGAGAGTGAGCGTGAGAGAGCGTAACAGAGAGCAGCACTCACTCTCAGAGAGAGAGAGAGGGAGAAAGAGAGAGCTCTGCTCCGCTTTGACTGGAAATCAGAAACCGAAACCGAAACCGAAACAGAGGCAAAATTATGAAAATCCATATGGAAAACGGTCAATAAAAGAAAAGCCGCAAACAAAGCACAAAAACAACAACAAAAGAAAGAGAAGGTGTGCAAGGCAAAGAAAAATGAAAAGTGAGGGTTCGAGTGAGGGGCGATAGCGAGGTGAGGTCAAAGAAAATCCGCCCAAACACAAAAAAAATAAACAAAGAAAATTGTACAAAATAGAACTGAAAACTGGTTTCGGTTATGGGTCTCTGTCTCCCTAAAAGAAGGGTTCGGCAGTGGCGGAACGTGGAAGAGGGAGCAGGAGGGAGAGAGGGGCAGCAAAGCGTTGGCGTCAGTTTGTGCTCGCTCTCGCTCTCCCTATATCTCCTCTCGTTCCACACGCACACCATTTGTAATACACTTTAAAGAGAGGGAGATTCGGGTGTAAGAAGATGTTTGCGACACAGGGAATGAACCATTTGGGATCGCAGAAAGTGTATGGCCTTGATCAGCTTCAAAAAAAAAACAAATTAAAGTTCAGAAATATATACTCATATTTCCACAAAACCTTTACATCTTAGCCCTATTTCACATCGCACTCCACCTTCAAGGGTATTCCATGCTTCGGTCTCCCGATTGACAGTCTTCCCTCTCGTGTTTCGTGTTTAATTTGTTGTCCATGAGCAATTAAAGCAAATTGAGAGCAAAACAAAAGCCCAAAAAAAACCAAAAAATAGATGGACAAACAGATAACAAAGGAAAAGGCTCAACCTCAAAGAAGAAGCACAGGCCGAAGAGAGAGAGACAGAAAAGGAAGATTTAATAGCCTGAAAACGTAACCCTGCTTAGACACCTGTAGATGGTTATTGTTTTATGTAGTTGTTGGCAGCAGCAAATTAGCTAATGGCATTTGTCAAGCACCGCACACTTTCCGGCGAACACAATTTGTCACTTTTCACAGATTTTTCACCGTATTTGTGTTTGTTTTTTCACTCCGTTTCGTTGGCCCGTCGTTGGCTTCGAACCGATCTGCGCGGAAGCGGGCTCAAAAAGTTAATAACAACCAACTGGTTTCCAGAAGGGGGGCTCACCAGACTGGAAAGAGCCACAGAAACAACGCTGGAAAGTCGAAAAGCCGCACACAGCAGACAGACAGAGAGAGAGAGAGAGAGTGAACGAACGCGACCGGGAGAGCAAATGCGGGAGAGTGCGTGCCAGCGGGAGAGCCGGTGAACAATGAGAGCGCGAGAGCGTTGCTGGCGGCCGTCTTAAGCTCGAATTACACGAAACGAAAGCAGAGCAGAAAGGCAGACAACAAAGGGTACGATGATCGACTAGGGCATGTTCTATAGGCAGTAGAGGTTGGCAGAGTAAAGGTAATGTTGAACACAATTCAACTTTAAACTTTTCATGTATTTATCATTCCACATACATAGTTATCAAGCCTCACGGAGATATCTTCAATCAATGATCAGTAAAATAAATAATTTAATTAAAAACCGGAATAATATATAACAACAAATATAAATAAACACAGTTGCTGGTGCCGACGGCAGTTCGGTAATGTCTGTCCTCTTTGAACACCGTTTTCCGCAAGCCCTATATACCTCTCTTTTACCCGTTCACCCATCACCGAAGCAGAGCAACAACGTCCGTCAGATTGTGCATGTGTGTTGGTGCATGTGTGTGTGCCGAGCTTACCTGCAGCTTCGCTAGCGTTTTGTGTTGATGCTTCTAAAGCTTTCGTTGATTCTGGCGTTGCTTTCAAAGCTTTTGTTTCTATTGCTGTCTCGATTGTTTCGACCAAAAGCTCTTCAATGAAAGCTCCACTAGAACGATCGTCAATATCGTATTTGCCTTTTCTCATCGGCTTTGGTGGCGGCTGCGGGGCCGTACGACGCTTGCGCGGCTGTTGGGTGGTGGGTGGCTGCATTTGGTCTGGCAGAATCGCTGCGCTTTCCTCTGCCAGATCTTCCCCCTCGTCCCGCTCGGTTGGACTCTGATTAAGCTTTGCGGAAAGCTGGCAGAGCTGTGCGAGGCTGCAGAGTTGTTGTGGTTGTTGTTGCTGCTCCTGTTGCTCCCGCTGCTGCTGCTGCTGTTGTTGTTTTTCTTTTTGTTTCTTTTTGAGTCGCAGCGGCTTGGTGGGCACTTTAGGGGGCAAAGGTTGAACTCTTATGGGCTGACGCATTTTCGAACCAATTTTCCAAAACACTACGGCCGTGGCCACCGCAGTGGTGGCCTTGCAAACCCATTCTCCAATTGCACATTTCATTTTGTTATATTTTTGGGATCATACATGTTCTATGGACTTACGGACAGATGGTATCCAAAAAGTAATATTTTAGTCGATCTAATCCCTGATCCCTATTCATCCATGAATAACTCTTGGACCCCAGTGTCCGGGCTCCATAAGGAGATTGTTTACTTTTGAATTTTCTAGCCAAAAATATTTGTCAAACATGACAACTCTAATCAATGTTGCTGGGTTTAGAGATCCAATGAATCTCACGATTCGTTTGGAAAATCTCAGCTTTTTCCGACCCCAGTCCATCCATGGGACATATGTACTCTATCTTTTGGAGCTCATGTACCCTAAATGTCTGTGCGTAAGCCTCTTAAACGGATTACACTTGCCCACTAATACGATTGCCGGCTTAATGTCTATTCAAATTCGTTCAAAAATGCACCCAAGAGTATGGCCAGGCGAATTTTCGCTGGGAATATCATTTGCAGAAATGGTACAACACGCTCAATAATTGCATTATAATAACAAATTGTAAACAGCATTAAACAGTTGTTAAAACTAGAAACACACAGACACACACACAGAGGCAGGCAGGCAGGAAGGCAGGCAACAGGGGGTTAAAGAGAGGGGGATATAGAGTGAGAGATACAGATAGAGAGCGAGGGCGAGGGCGAGGCGATGGTGATAGAGATGAGCGAGATGGCGATAAAAGTTTACAACTTTTACATGGAAATTGTACAAGCAAAACTATTAAAACTAATTGCCATAAATATTAGCGGCCAGCCACGTGCCATGCCCGAAAAACTTTTCCACTGTAATGTGTTCCCACTGTATGTGTGAGTGAGATGTGACGTGGTGTGTGTGCGTGGCGGGAGAGCGAGCGAGAAAGGGAGCTTAATTGAGCACGTGTTGCCTCTCACTCCCGCAGGCTGCACTGGCCGAAAAAAAAGGCACCGAAAACTAAGCCAAAACTCAACCAGCAGCGACCTCCCCCCCACCCCCCACCCCCCGAGCCCGAACACCCCTACACCTCTCAGGCTCTTCCACCAGCTCCCACATGTTGCCCCAGCCACCTTTTATATGCTGCCCCAACCACCGCTCATGTCCTGCCCCAACCAGCTCTTATATGCCGCCCCAACCACCTCTCATACGGTGCCCCAACCACCTCTCTTATGCCGCCCCAACTTCTCTCACATGTTGCCCCACGAAAAGCCTTTTATTTGGGGGGTTCTGTGCTGCGGGATATGTGGTTTTCGCGTAGAAGTGTTTGGGTAATGGGATCAGGAGAGGAAACAAGTGGGGGGGAGGATTGCTCTTAGCGTTACTCCAGATCAACAAGATTATATGGTAGTTGGAAAGATCTGGCTGCTAGTCAGGAAAACATACGACCAGAGCATCCAAAGAGCAATTTGATAGCTTCAAATGCTCGATAAACGATCAACGATAGCGATTCATATCATATTTGGTATGATATTCCATACAAGAGCTCTTGAAAAGTGTCAAATTCCTTAATGGTTCCATTATCTGTGGCTCTAAAGCCGAAGAACTCAAAACATATAGAGAGCTACCCTTTAAAGATTACAATCGTTACAAACGATCAATGTATTATAGTTATATTACAGCAATCCGTTGCATTCCCTCCACATCAGAACTGATTCAATCCTTAACCTAAACGATGCTCTACCCATATTCCAGTCTTTTCTTCCAGTTAAATGGTGGTCCTTTATTCTCATTCTTAAGATTTGTACAAAATGCCCCAGGATCGTGGGGTTTCCTGCCTTCCGCCAACCCACATGGCACTTCTTTTATCGAGTCCCCGAATCTTGGCCCACATGAATTATGAATTTATGCATTGAAAGAGGCCCGAGTGAGTGAATGAATGAATGAATTGAGTGTGTGAGAGCGAGGTCCAAGGAGCAGTCGGCCGGTCGGGTAGGTATCATCTCTCATCGCTAAAAGGGAATTTTTGATAGCCAGCTCGAGCCCCCTCCGATGCCCCGCCTCCTTTACAGCAGGTCCTGGCACGTTTAGGATTTCTCGTTGATTTGATTTTAGACTTTGCCCCACACTGCAATGCCAAAAGGCCCCATGCAGTCAGGCGGTTGGTCTGGTGTTGGGGCGGGGCAGCCATGGGTGGGGCATCTCTTTTTCGCCGCTGAATTGCTTTTTGATATGCCTCAGCCTTGAACGCGTTTTCGCGTCTTTGTGAAGCGCGGAAAATTCCGTGGCCCACTACAGTGCAGAAAAGCCCGCTGCGAAACAAAAACAAACCCCGGCAAAAACGTTTTCCAGAGTTCTTTTTGGCGCAAATTTGAATTTATTTGATGCACTGGGGGGGTGCTAAGGGTATTACGGTTATGGGAGGTGGTTTGTTAGTTGGAGTAGGGAGTTTTCCGGGAGTTTTTCCCATTTATTTTGTGGGATTTGGTTCGCAGGAAGCCTTTCTTTCAAATGAAGAAGGCAATTTTCTATCATAACTAAGCTCTGATAATCATATTCCAATATATATCCCTGGAATACCAAGCAGAAATGTTGCATAACCAACCGAGGGGCGCTGCTGCATGAAGCGTGAAACGTATTTTCGAGGAAAATTGGATCTTAATATTGAATCTTGAATATTCCCGTCTAAAGACCTTTTGTTGTACTATTTCATCTACAATAAACACTGATATCAGTAGGTATTCCAATATCCAATATATATATCCGATATCCCACACTATTTAGTAGGATATATCCTATCCTTTATTCAAATTTCCCACAAACACTATACAAATAAGCTTGCCGCCCAAAAGTTGTCCCTTTCTTTCTCTAGACCCAACCGATGGGCACTGCCGCAAGACGCGCCACACGCATAACCGAACCGCTGACCTTCTTGCCTTCTTTAAAACTATTTTCCGCCAACTTATAAGAGTATTTCCTCGTTCACTTCACCGAGTCGCAACCCTTTACTTCCGCGCTTCTTCACACAAATTTTCCAGCTTTGAGTGATTTTTTTTTCGCTGGCGTAAATGTGTGTGTGTGTTGTTTTTTAAGTATTGAGGAAAAGTCAGTCGCCTGCAGCTTTTTGAACTCGACGCGTTTTTCTTATGGCTGTTAATAGACAGTCGTGAGTTTTTGAAGTGGGTCGCCGTTATGCTTCTGTTCATGCTCCTCCCAGAAAGCATGCTACCGGCTCGTGCCCCTCCGCGTCGCATCCCCGGTTCTGGCCTTCAGTTTTGGGTTCTGTTTTGTGTTTTTCGGTTCCTAAGTTTCTGTCTTGTGTTGAGTTATGACTGGGTACGTGCTCGCTTTGAGTGTTGCTTCAGGCTTCAGATGCTGTGCGGGGGAGGGGGGGCGGCGGCTGGTGGGGTCTGTTTGTGCTCTTCTTTTAATATTTTTAAAGGAAACATCTTAAAGATTTCACATGAATAACTAAAATCTATAAATTTTTGATTCGTACGAAACAACCGAATGGAAACTTTAGAGTAAAAAATATTATATTTCCCAGGCAAAATGCCAATAAGTTACAAGCAGCCTCGCAAAACTCTCAAGTTTTTCTCCATTTTTTTGTTGGCTTCGATGAGGGATGGTGCACGGATCCGGTACCCAGAAGAAGGTGCCACAAAAACAACATCCAGCCGAAGGGTGGGCGAGGGGGACGAGGGGGGAGCGGCACAAAAAGTGAAGCTCTAAAATTCAGAAAGTCAAGCGGTAGGTCTGCTCAGGTTAGGGTAGGGTTGAGTGGCAGAGTGGCGGAGTGGCAGAGTGGTGGAGTGGCGGAGTGTTCGGGGAATGCGAGTGTAGAAAATTTCATAAAAAACTTCAATGAAAAGTTTATATTTTTCTCGTATCGTATCGTTCCTTCTTCTTCTTCTTCCTATTTTTGTGTTACAGGGAACTTGTCCGAAAAATTCTTATTTAAACTACGCTTAAATTGCAATAAAGTCGACTTTCAGAAAGAGAATTGCAAGGGCAGTGCGTTTCAGTGTTGTAAGATAAGGTTTAATGTTTTTCGGTATTTATGGGAGCTATTCAAGGTCCAGAATATAATCCTTAGTGAAAGTGTAGTAAAAAAATACATAAAAATTGTTTTTATTCAAGGTTTCCATTTTTTGGTATACAAAAATAGAGTTCAGATGGATTCATCGAGTATTTGTCTCATATCCTTTAAAAACGATGGTCGGATGTGGTACTCCGATATCGATATATATCGTTATTTATCGATTAAGCCATTATTGATGCGATTCTGTTAAGGAACTGACTCCAACATTGAAAAAACTTTAATAATTTCTATAACTACAGAAATACATCGTTAATTATCATGGTACTGTCTGTTACTCTTCCCATGTCCCAAATCGCCTTACACTTTCGTGACGCACTGTCGTCTGAAGAGTTGTATATTAAAACAAAAGTCCGACAAAAAAAAGTTGCAATAAAAAAACGAGTAAAACCCCTAAACGAACAATAGAGGTACAACAACAACAACAAAAACAAAGTTGCCATATTGAAAAATGCAAGAGGTCAATTTGGTGAAGGGTCATGATGAAGGGCAAACGGGCGGGGTAGAAGAAGGAAGAGAAGAAAAGAACATGAAGGAATTTTCCAAAAATAAAAGGCAGAGAGGAAAAGCTGAAACTGAAATTTGATGCACAACAACAGTCACATTTACAACAACAATAGGAATCTCAACAACAAAAAATAGAGTAGGGGTAAGTCAACAACGAAAAGTCAACAATATGAAAGTAAAACTGGTCTTGGGATTAGAAGTTTTTGATACCCTTAAAGATCAGATATGAAACTGAATTTTTATCGATTATTTTTACGGGATATTTCCGATGAAAACTGTACAAGAGCCTGAGCAAAGTTTAAGCCAGATAAAAGCTTTAAAACTGATACAAATCGATAAGTTAATAACAATCGATAAATTGATAACAATTCTGCATAGAAACATACTATAGGACATGGTTGTATCAGCACAAAAATCAAGAATAACCGATAAATCGATAGGAATTTATAAAAAAAGAGACCAAGGCACAATGATATATCGACATTGATAATATTTCGAGTTAATTCTCAGAAAAATCGATATAAATCGTTAAGTCGATAACAAGTTTTAATAGATACAGAGCATTGAACATGTCCATATCGACTCGATTGA